TAGAAAAGAATATAGAAATATAATAAAAGTAATATTTATTTAATATTACAAAAATCTTAGAAAAAAGATATAGAAAAAAGGATAAAAAGATAAACATAAAAGTAATTAAGATTACTATTGAAATATTAGCGATTGAGTATGATAAGAGAGATTTAAAATAAATAAATGAATAATTAGTACAAAAATTAAAATTAAAATTAATTGACTAAGAAAACTACTAAAAAGAATGAGAAAGAGTTAGTTATGATATCAAAAAAGGAAATTATAAGAAAAAGAGCGTAAAAAAGGAATAGAAAAACTATATAAATTTATATAGAATAAAAATATGAACTGAAATTATAGTAAAAAATAACTCATATATTGAAAAAATAAAAATTATTTCAATAAAAATTACATTATCTGAAAGAGTATAAGAATCATAAGAAGGTTTTAAATATAAAATTATGTTTAAAAAAAATTGTTACAACATAATAACTATTTAGAATGTACAAAACCAATTTTTAATAATAATAAATTAAAATGTAAAATAGAATTTAATTTTAATACAACCAAAGATGAGTGTTATTAAATATTATTTGAATAGTAAAGAACTTAAAAAATATTGAAATTTCAAAAATAATCAAGTCTAAAAGAGAAAAAGATAATAAAGTCACATTGAATAATGTAATTTGCTTGCAAAAGACAAAATAAGGTATCTAACAACAAAAGAAAAGTGAAAGAATGAAACATATTTAATAGTAAAAAAATATTGAACATTAAAAGATACTAAATCACAGAGAGATGAAGAAAAAAAAAATGTAAATTGAGAAAAAGATTTGAAAATGATCACAAAAATAAAAAGTAAAATTAAATTATAAGCTAACATAGAAAGATGTCAAAATTAAACAATATAGTTAGAGAAAAAACACTTGCTAGAGAACCTCAATAAAAAGTTAGTTTTAGATAAAATGATAAAGCTAACAAATTTATTATTAACAATTTTAAATATTTTATACTAATTCAACTTATGCAAATCAGTAATGTGAAAAAGCAATAAAATACAGGTTATTTTAATGGACATGCTTTGATAAGTTAAGAAGGAATGATAATTTATAAATATTTAATCTTAAAATAAATAGAATAATTCATCTGATTGAAGATGTAAAAATTTATTTAACAGAAGGTTCAACATCGATAATAAAATAATCTTTTTATATTGGAAGAATGAAGGTTTTATTTGTTAAGAGGAACATTGAGTGAATATAGAAGAAAAAACGATTGAAATGTTAAAAAATCCTTATTGGTAATTTAGGAATGATATAAAATAGAAGAGATATAGTTATAAGAGATGATGATTTGAGTATTGAAACTATTAAATTGATTAGATGATTGAATCTGTTAAATAGAAAATTAGTTAGAATTAAAAAAGATGAGAGAAAGGAAATCTGGAATATTGAGAATATAAAAATAAAACATGAATATCGAATTTAAATTTAGTTGTCTACTTGAAGATTTTTTTATTATTAATATTTATGTAATAAACAAAAGCATAATAACTCAAATAAAAAGGTAATGAAGCATTCAAATTGGAAAATTATAATGATGCCATAAAATTATATTCTGAAGCAATAGTATTATTGTAAATGGAATTTAGATGGAAGATAATACTGAGAGTGTATATTACTCAAATAGAGCTTTATGTTTTTATATTTAAGAGAAATATTAAGAATCATATGATGATGCAACAGAAGCTGTCTAATTAAATGAGAAAAACATAAAAGCTCATATGTTGGTTGGATAATCAATTTGCATGTTAGCAAAATATAAATTAGATAGTTCTAAAATTGATATTGCAATAGTTAGAATATTAAAAGGTTAATATATATTTATATAAAATAAAAGCTCGTACACTTTGTGCTGGTTAAAAAAAATAAGAATATGAGAAAGAGATTGATGAGAAAATAAATAAAGCAAAGAAGATGAAATGGTTTATTTAATAGGAAGAGGTTAGAATTAAGAACTTAGAAATAGTATAACAATTATAAGAAGAAATAAAAAAAGATGATAGATTAAATGAGAATGAAAAATAGATAACATTGAAAAAAATTGACAAATATATTATAAACGAAAAACCAGATTTAGAAATTCCTGATTATTTGAAATGCCATTTAACATAAAAATTGTTAATTGATCCTTGGACAACAGAAGCTGGATATTCTTATGAGAAAAATGAACTATTTAAAATAGATCCTTTAACATTTGATCCATTTACTAAGTATAAAAAATGATTAAAAAAAAAGAACGCCAATAAATGCAAAGAATATATATTCAAATATTAATTTAAAAAAGGCAGCAAATGAATTTTTGTTAATAAATCCATGGGCATTTGATTATAATGCAAATTAAAGTTATAAAGATATAGCAATATGAGTAATAATGATAATTACTAAATAATAATAATAATAAGATAATCATTCTACAATAGCTGATTAATTTTCAAATAGTTTATAAATTGGGTAATTAACTTCTTATTGAACACCACATTATCCTTCTTTATCATTAATTCTAGCAAATCTAATATAACCTTATTCTCCCCATGAAGTTCCCCATGAATTTTTGATTAAATAATATTCTGGAGCATATCCAACATTTGTGACTCCATGATTAAGTGCTTCTTTTCTTGAATCACATTTAGCATTATAGATACCTTTTTTATATAATTAGAAATTGATTCCACTTGCATTAATACCAACAGATAATGCGTGTTCAGCAGCAGCTTCAACATAAGCATCTGGATTAAGTGATTCTACATCAACAAAACCACTAAATTAATATCTAGTCTTAGTCTTTTTTGCTTAGCATTTTTAATCTACTGCAACATAAGGATATTCTGATCTTATTGCAATACCATATTTTGAAGCATATGCAAAACCATCATACATTTCACCACCATCACATCCTTCACTTTCAAATTCATCTAATACAGCACAATCAACCAATTCTTATTCAGATAATTCTACATTTTATACTCCTGATTATCTTAATGCTGTCTCTAAAGCAGCTACTGCTGAAAATGCCCAACATGATCCACAACTTCCTTAATTCTTTACTTCACTAACAACTCCATCTTTTCTTAAATCTACTTCTACTGGAACTTATTTTCCTTATTTTTTATAAACTTAATTGCTTGATTCTCTAGAAGATGATTATTTCAATTTCAAGTATTTTGCTTCAAATTCTTCTACTGAAAGATCTGCAAAACTATTCAAACCTATTTCAAATGTTTCTAATCCAGCTTCAACTCTTTTTTAATGCTCTTATATATAACCATAATTTTTCTTAAATATTCCAAATCTATGAGAATTTTCAAATTATGAATATCTCTTTCCATGTTCTCTTTACCAATTTTAATATATTTTCATTACTTCATCCTCTAAAAATTAACTTTATTCACTATTTTAAACTGTGTTTAATAATGATGTACCAGCTAATAATGTTATAGCCAATATTGTTAATAATCCTTTTTACATTTTATTTATTGAATTCCGTAAACTTATTCTGCATTTGAATGAATTAATGAGATCAATATTAATTCACGATCACGTCATTCAAAATATATTAAACTTTTTTTTATTATTTTATTATTACCTAATTAATAGTGATCAATGATGTAATTAAATATTTATTAAAAACTATATTAATTTTTTTAATATTATTTCTACTTTCAACATGTTATTCCATATCCTGAATCATACTTAATTATTTTTATTTTTAAAATTACTTTACTCTAGGTTTTAATCTTTATTCCAAACTTTAAGTTTTAATCTTTATATTCCAAAAAGAATTCTTATAATAATCACATAAATAATATTTATATACAGACAATTTCGCTAAAATGCTTTTATTAATAAAAATTTCTTAAATTCTGACAAAATTTTAAATCAAAATATGGTTAAAATATATTTCTAATAATTCAACAGCTAATTTTTATGTAAATTATACATTGTTTTGTATAAACCTTAAGTACTAAGTCTAATCTATATATTTTAGATTGATATAAAATAGATTTGTCAATAAGAATCTAAAAAAGCAAATAATATTGATATTTTGGTTAAAATAATAAAGTTTAATATTGATATAATTTTTTTAAATTTTAATGGAAATAAATTCTAAAATAAAAAAAAATATAACAGAGGGTGGTTTCGATCTTTGAGTTATGAGCACAACACGATTCCACTTCGCCAACCCTGCTTTGTTAATCTAAATCTATATTCTAGTTTGATAAAAAAAAATGAAATTCAATAAGAAAAATAAATTAGTATAAATAAACTTTTATGTTTTTATAAAAATAATTTGTTTTAGATGAATTTTATTTAATTCATATATTTTCAGAAATTAATAAATAAGAATTCATTATTAATTAATGATTTAAATATAAAATAAAATAAAATCAAAACAATTCTAATTATAATGTGAGTTGGATTAACATAAATAAATATAAATTATAAGAAAAATGAAATTCAATTTTTTTTAGTAGGAGTTAGGAACATTTTTGGTCTTGTAGTATGTGAATATTTTTTTAATGGACTTTTACTTGATTATTTTGTTAATAGTGTTTATTAAATATCTATTTTTTGCTCTATTTAAGGATCTTAAATCAATATAATAATTATATGTACCTTCAATAACAGCAATATCTCTTAATCTAAAAATTCCAACTAAATTTTCATATAAACATTCTATTAATTAAGTTTTCTTATCAATCTTTTAGACTATTACTTTGTAACCAGGTTTAAGAATAAAATTGTCACCTGAAATTGGTTTACAATTATTAATAGCTGTACCATAAACATAAGGATTTTATTTAATTTCTTTTGATATATTTTTTTAAGAATTTATATAATTAGTAAGTAAATGTGCTGGTTTATTTCTAGCCGAATTAATTTAAGAAGATATCTATGAATCTCTTTTAGCTTTAGATTTGCAATCATCTAATAGATTAAATTATGCATTTTTTTATGATTGATTAGTTGGTGTTAAAGATTTTTAAGTATGAGATGGTGATTTATTTTATTAAGTGATAATATTACTAGTTTATCTTGATCTACAATTATTACTTACTGGTATTATTTTATCAACTTAACAATTTGATAAATGTCTACTTACTTAACAAGAAACATCTGTAATTGATTCTTTCTCTGAAATCTTAGTTAATAATTAAGGAGGTTATTAAGTTGATTAATAAATATCTGTAGATTCTCTCTTTGAATTCTCTGTTTAAGATTATGTAGCTAATACTTCTGTTAAAGTATCTTCTTATTTCATCATTGGAGAAGATCTCAAAACACTTTCCGAATGCATTTTTTAAAAGGAATCATTACCAAAAGAACATTTGAAATTTTATAATCTCTAAATTCTTAAATGTTATTACTTTCTTAATGCACTCTCTATTAATTATTACAATATTTATACCATCTAATTAAAAATTGTCTATCTCCTCTTCCTATACATTTTCTTTTATATCTTTAAATGATTTTATTTACTACTTTAATGTTGGTGTCTAATCATTATTTTCAATATCTTAAAATTTATCTTATGAATTCCTTCTTTCTAAATCAAAAACCCAATCTGTTTTCTATATCTACTCATCTAACATTAAATTCTAATTTTAGCTATTTATTATATCATTATCTGTCTCTACTTTCTATATTACTAATTCCAAATTATCCTATTATTTTTACTCCTATTTATCTTCTATGATTATTTGTTATTATTGCAAAAATGCACTTGATTTTTTATTTTACTCATTTATTAGTGATTTATCAATTTTAAATACTTTATTCAATTTTCTCATTGCTATACTAGTATTTCCTAATATTTTAAAATCATCTGCTTTTTATATAGACTATTCAAATATATGAGAAAATAAGAGTAATATACTAAATAAATTAGGTAAGCATACCTTTTTTATAGAAATAAATTGACTCTCTCCTTTAATAATTGCATATCTACAACCTAAGCATTCTAAATTTGTAATTCATCAGTTTAATTCTTTTCCATAAACTTAAATTGTTTACTCGATACCGTAAATTTAGAGTGTCTACTATTTCTATAAATGACTGATTCTTTATTACATTTTTAAGTTTTTTCAATTTAAATTCCTCTAATGGATTTATTATTCTTTTTACAATTAATATATATACTTCAATTTTAATGTCATATTTAAATTATGAATCATATTATTCATATTAATTGGATAAAGGAAAACATATCTTACCATAATTATTAGTAAAATCTTCATATATAGCAAGAGCTTTAGCAAATTCTAAATAAATAGTCCATAATTATAAATCTTCATTATCTTTAGCATCAAATAAAAACTTTCTATCTCCCATTTCTCTTAATTATTTATACCAATAAGTTGAACATATTTACAAAGTAAAGTTTTTTTAATTTTCTAATGCCAATACTGAATATATACTCTTTAATGGAATTGAACATAAAGGTAATTCACTATTAAGTGAATCTTATCTATTTTAATATAATTTAAGTTCTTTTCCATCAAGTATAACATATCTAGGAACCTAAGATACTCGATTTTAAGATTTCTTTATCAATACACCTTCTCTTAAAATAATATTTGCATGATTTTGAGATCTATTAAACTTATTTCCAATTTATTTTAAAATAATTGATTTAAGTGCTTTACTAGACATATTCTAAAATTTTTGAGTATCTTAAGTACATTTAGGATTGATGAGATTAATCAAAAAGTTTGGTTTTGAGTTTTATTTATTTTCATTATTATTTTCAAAATTAATTTATTAATTAACATTAGATTCTGCCATCAACCATTAGAATTATAATTTTTTACATTCTACCAATTCTTCAGTTTCAAAAGGTAATGGTAATTATTAGATTGCCTCAGCTACAGCTTTATGTAACTACCTTCTTTATTTAAATGTTATTCTTTAATATAGACAATCCCTCATAAATGGACATGTAAAACGATAAAATATATTTTATTCTCTTACTTCCATTACTTCAATAACTTCTTTGGCTTCCAATTCATCTAAATATTTTTATAATTTATTTCCGACAGCATTTTTAAAAGGATTAATTTTATTTAATAATTAAATATCAAAAATATCACCAATAACACTAGCTGATTTCAATAATAATTATTCTAAACATGATAATTTATCTATAATAGGACCATTTACTTCAATTCTACAATAAGGAGCATCAACAATAATACTTTCTTCATAATTAATTAAATTAACTAATTCATTTGTTATGGTTGCATATTTTGGACTTAATCTAATTAAATCTAAGTCTATTAGATTTTAGACAAAATTTAAAACCATTAAAGGATTACCACTAGTTTTCATATAAATCCATTGCATAAAAAGTAATTCTACATCTGTTTTTATTAATTATGCTTTATTTTCACAAAATAGAAATTAATTATTAATTTCTTTAGATTAATTCTCTTAAATAATAACATCATGAATTGAAGAAGTAATTCTTTTTCTAATTCCATTTTCAGCAATTGACTATGTAAATTCTTATTCTGGCATAAACTTTTAAATATTAAAAGAAAATCTAATCATTTTAGCAAATTCATCATCATTACCTCCTTTTCTTTCTATTCCTCTTAATTACATTAAAATAAAAGGATTTCCATCCATTTTATCCTCTAACGCTGTTATCCCTTCTATAGCAATATCTTCTTGAGATTTCTTTTTTTCTGCAACTTTTGGTTAAATTATCATTTCTTAAAATGAATCTCGATATAAAGCTAAAATTGTAAGTCTATCATAAGTTTTAATCATTAGTCTAAGTATTTTAAATGATATTTAATCATAATTTTAAATGTCATCTAAACATAAAACAACTGGAGCAATAATATTAGTATATTTAATAGAATAATTAATTTATCTTTAAACAGATGATTTCATTATATCCCATCCAATTTATTCTGGAGATCTACCCTCATACAATTCAGATAATTTACTAGGAATTTATTCAAAGAAATTGCTTAAAAATTGAAATATTATTCTTTTTATATCATTTTCTTTATCTTCCTCTTATTATCTTGTAGGAAACTTCTCCAAATGTCTATTATCATTCAAACCTACAATTTCCTGTAACATTTATACTAAATTAGGTGGATGCATTTTAGAATCAATCATCATATTGAATAAATCTAAATTTGCTGGCTTTTCCACTCTTTTAGCATATAATAAAAATATTTATTTTAAAATACTTCTTAATCCATTTAATTTAAATGTTCTTGTTATAGGATCTAATTGTTAAAAAAGAATATGAGAATACTCACCATATTTCCATGGACTGTATTAATTAGAATTAATCTTTTCCTAAATTCTATGTAAAACCTTTTTAGCCAAAATACTCTTTCCACATCCATAAGTTCCTTTCAAAATTATTAAACTTTTCTTATCAACTCCTCTAATAACCTTATCAATTTAATTTAATAATTTTTTATGTTGTTCTTCTCTTCCATACAATTAAGTAGCAATAAATTCTGATTTCTTTGCAAATCCATATGCATAATTATGAATTTTAAAATTAGGTAATAAATTACCCTAAGTAGGTTCTAATGATTTTTCTAGAGGAACATAAATATGAACTGGTGCATTTTTACCTTTAACTTAAGTTTATCTCAAAAAAGCTGTGTTTATACAATTACCTGCACTTTTCGCTGTTTCTAAACACATAAGGATTTTATGGCTGGTTTCTGAACAAGCAGCTTACATTAATCTAGCAGCAAGATTTACAGAATCACCAAGAACTGAGTATTCTCTTCTTGAACCACTTGTACCAACTACTCCTGCGAATACAGTACCAGTAACAATTCCAATAGAACATCCACAATTAATTTTAGGAAGTTCTTTATTCATTAGTTAGGCTGTTAGAATTGCTCTAACAGGATCATTTTAGTGACTTAGAGGTGGAAGCCCAAAAACAACAATTAATGTTGAACCCTTATCATCCATTAATAGCTTATTTAATGATCCTTCATGCATATAAATACATTTTTATACAGTTTTAATGACTCTTTAAATTTATTCCAATCCTTAGGCATTTTTGGCAGAATTTAGATCCATTTTTAAATTAACAAACATTATTGATAATCTTCTTAATTCAGCACTCCAAGCTTCTTCATTAATATCAATATATGGAAGAAGAGCTGCAGGAATGTAAGATTGAATTTCATTTCTAATCATTTAAAATTATGATAAAGTAATGTTATTTTTTATTAGAAGTGCATCAGCCTTCATTTTAACTTTAGCTTACTATAATTTAATGACTTCATAATGTCCCTCATGATCAACTACTTTTTAACATTCAAAAAAATTATGAATCATATCATAAATTTATTGAGATATAATAATCTTTCCACCTTCAGTTAAACAATGCTCTGAATGAAAAGCTTAGATTAAGGGATCTCCTGTGGCCAAATATTCCATTCTATTGAAAACACCTCCAACATGAATTATATTCATTTCTCCAACTCCAAAACCAATCTTCACACTCAATTAAATACCTTATTCTATCTAGGCTTTAGTTAATTTTTCTTAGATTAACAAAGCTGATTATATAGCTTGTTTTAACAAAGTTTCTAGATTTTATTGAAAGTTTTAATCATTAGGAGGAGGAGGCCAAATAACAATCATAGCATCTAAATATAATCATTAGTAAATACCTCCAGCAAATTTGAAAATATCACCACCACTTCTTCCAATACCTTAAACTAATAACTCCATATATCGATTAATTGCAAATGCTATTCGTTCTGCCCCTTCTGTTCCTAATTAACTTAACAGTTCTGTTAATCTTGTAAATCCGGATATATCTGCAAACATTACAACACTTTTTATTCTCTATTTTTCTGGTAATTTTCTCACTAATTTATTCATTTTTAAATTCATAAGATGTTATACAACCAAAGCAGGTACATAGCCTAAAATTGACATTGATTGACTCTAAAATTATTGAGACATATTTAATGTAAATAATTATTTATATTAAAGTAATAATAATATTATTTTTTTTCTTATTATTCCTCTAAAATATTTACTTTTAAGCAATAAAATACCCTTTCTATTTAGCTGTATTATTTTATATAACATAATTGTTTCTATTATGAAAGAATTATTATAGATAATATAAAACTTTCTTAATTTAATGTATAACAATAATTATATTCTTATAAATAAGAAATTTTATTAAAATATCCTTAAGTATCCTAGATTTCATGTAATCTGATTTTTAATAACAATAAAACTCAACTAATGGAATATATAGTTTATGGTCAGGAATAGATGATGAAGAATCTAAAAGAGAAAAAAAGAAACCATTGAAATAAGCTCATCCTTAATTTTCAGAAATGACAGATAAATAAAAATAAAGAAAGCTAACTTTAAATAATAATAAAAAGAATAAGAGTAAGCAAATAAATAAATGTGAAGGTTAATTGCAATCTGAGAATTTTGATTCACTTTAGGCGCAAATTTAAGTATGTTGATAATATTATTTTGTTAGCCCTTAAAATATGAAACGAAGCCATAATTTGTTCTTTTAGTAAAGCCTAATAATGAAGAAATTTAAATAGATTTGGAATAATATATAGATGAATAAGTAACATTTAAATAAAAATAATAGTACGCAATATAAGAAAATATTTCTAAGGTATGTTACTTTAAATAAGAGAGTGATTTTGGACACACAGAATATAAATTAAGATTAGTAGATCCAGATCCTAAAAGATTAACTCATTTGACAACCTAAATGAATTATAGGTAAATAGTGAAAAGATAGTATATATAGATTATCAGAAGGGAATGGTATGGCATATTATAAAATTGGAGTAGAAGATAGTGGTAATCCTTTAGGTTTAAATAAATGTGATATGCTTGGATCATTAAGGACTCTATGTTCAATGGCTTAATCTTTAAAAGCAGAATTATTAGTTGTAGGAATAAATCAAGGGACGAATGGAAAGACTTGTGAAGTTATTGTAAGAAAAGGATTAAAAGATGGCATCAATTTAGATATTCGTATTTTACTTTTAGGAGAGAGTGGATCTGGAAAAACATCTTTGTTAGGTGTATTAAGTACAGGATAGTTAGATAATGGATAAGGATTAGCTAGAATGAAATTTTTAAAAAATAGATCTGAAATTACATCAGGTAAAACTGAAAGAGTTTCTCATACAGTTATAGGCTTTGATAGTGAAGGAAAAATTATGAATCATTAAAATTAATTGAATTTCAGTCCTACTTGTATGGTTGAAAAATTAGTAGATTTATCAACTAAATTAATTACTTTTATTGATATGGGAGGTACTAAAAGAGCTCATAATTAAATGATTTAAATTGTCAATTCTTAATTCCCTGATTATGCTTTACTTACTATTTCATCATTATAATTAATTGGAAAACCTACAATGGATTTTCTTAAATTGATATAAATATAATAAATACCTTTTATGATTGCTATTACACATGTTGATTAATTTGAAGAATATTCTTATATGGATAAAGTTGAATAGTTAAAAGATATGATAAAAAGCTTATAAATTTAAAGTGTTCCTATTGTTGTCAGATCTGAAGAAGATGTTGTTTTATTTAGTAAATAGATATTGAGCAAAACCTTAATTCCTATCTTTTTAATCTCAAACTTAAAATAAAGAACTTTAGATTATTTTATTAAATTTTTGAATTTATTACCTTCAACTAATGAATTAACTAATAATTCAAATTTAGATTCAGAATATTGTATTCATAATGTTTTTGAAATTAATAATCAGAAAGTCTTAGGTGGTACTGTTTTAAAGGGAGTAATTAGAGTCAAATAAATATTATAAATGGGTCCTGATAAACATGGTAGATTTTTTCCTATATAAATAGAAGAAATATAATGTAATAGAGTTTAAGTAAAAAATATATCATTTTGTTTATAGGTTAAATCAGTTTAGTGTGGATAAATATGTACTATAAGGTTTAAATAAGGAACATTAACTTAATAATTTGGATCTGATTAAAATCCAGTTAGAAGAGGAATGGTTCTTATAGATAGCAAAAGTAATCCATAAGCAGCATGGGATTTCTTAGCTGAAATATGGTTATTTGATGATCAAAAAGAAGCAAAAAAAATAGCTGCTAGTTTTGAACCAGTCATTAACACTTAATGTACTAGGTATTAATAAATTTATATTAGATAAATTTGTAAAATTATAAGAGAAGAACAACTTCAATTTGAACAACTTAAATTGAGAAAAAAGTAGTCTAAATCTATTGATGAGTCATCAAGATAGAATTAGGATGAATAATAATTAAGAGGACCCTATAGAAAATAGAGTGAATAAATTAAAAAGGCAAGTAGTTCTAGCAATTTAAATAAATCATATAGAAGTCCAAGAAGGAAAAGTAGTTAAATCAAAGAGTCATTTGTTGATGAAGATTCTAAAAAAATAGATCTATTTGTTATTAATGAAAAAAATGACAAACCTTAAGAATTTATTGAGCTCTAGCCTAAATAACCAAATTTTATTAGATTAAAATTCAAATATTTTCCTGAGTACATCACAAAAGGTATGAAACTTATAATTAATGATAATGGACTCTAAGCTTGGGGATTCATAAAATATATAAATTATTGACATTGTTTTATTTCTTATCAACTTTTCTCTTTCTCTTTTTTCAAAATTTTATCTTTTTTTCAATATTTAAAAACCCTCTTTCTCATGTATTTAATTAAATTTGTTTTTTATAAATCTTATATTCAATTTTACTTTATTTTTATTCTTAATAAATGTTGTTTTCTTAAAATGATGAATTTATTATTATGATAATCTATAAGATTGAACAGAATTTAAGTTTTATTCAGCCAAATATTAACTGTAATAATTTGATTATACCCATAAATACTTTTATAAATTTTAAAAATTTTACTAAATCTTGCTGATTTATAATGTAAAAATTATTGTAAAATATATTCAGGCTTTTTAAAATAATAATTAAAAAAGATAATCAAACTTAAATGATCAAAAGTATATTAAAATCACAATTTTACTAAAATTTGAAGTTCAAAGGAAAAAAAATACAAAATAATTAAAAAAGTTCGTTTGAAAATAGTATTTGGAAATAGTTTTTATGATTAAAAAATTATCAATACAATATAATAAGAATAGATAAATTATCTAATAAATGCTTTTTCAATCTGATTAAAATTGATAGTAATATTATTTACATTATTGTGAATGGATATATTATATAATTAATATAAATCTTAATGGGAATTAATATAAATAAAAAATTTTAAAGAAGATGGGTTACATTTAATATTGATAGCAAAAAGACAATAGTAAAAGCAATAGAACTTGAAATCTATATTTTAGTTGCTTCATTTTATTATTTGATAATATTTTTTTATCTAATAGAATTCAATAAAATGATAGAAAAACCAATTTATGGTATGACAATAGAATAATGAAAAGGAATTCTTTAAGAAATTCTATATTTCTATTCAGCTAAGGAGTGATAAATAAATTAAGAGAGTATTTAAAAAAAGAAAAATTACATTCTGAAATATTGAAATTTGTTTAGTATAGGGTTTATTTTGATTGGGGTTAAAGTATTTCAGTTTTATTTTGTGATTTTATTGTCAATCTATAAGTATTAAAAAAAGGTTACAAAATATAAGAATACGTATTTATATGATCAAAAATTATATAATTATTTTTTGAATGTAGTAGAAAAAAAGTCCGAAGTTTTTAGAAAAGTTGTATGAATTATTAGAAGTAAAAGAGTTAGAATAAATTCTATAGTCTTAGTAATATCGCTTTTTGAGATGGAGTGAAGATGGGAGATCATTTTAAGTTTGTGACTTAAAAAAGCTTGAGAGATAAGTGTTGAAGGTTTTCTATAAATAAAAATCGTTTGCTAGTTTTATTAGGTTAGATTTATTTTTGTATATTTTTAGACAATTAAACTTGTATGGATTTAAGAGATCTAAGATTCGTAGAAATATAAATGTTTTTTCACATCATCTTTTTATGAGAGGAGAAAAGTATTCTTTAAATAAAATTTAGAGATTAATTGATTAATATTATAAGTCATAACAAATTGAAGGTTCTTGAAGAATAAAGCAATTAAGATAATAACTTAAAGCCATAGATTTATGAAGCAGAACATCAGTAATTGACTAAAACTCTAAAGGATCTCTAGAATTAATAAAAATAAATCTAAATGAAATTTAATGAGCAAATTCACTTACAAATATAACTAAAACTTCGAATTTTTTAAATAATGAATGTAAATTATAGTTAAAGACTTTAGCAAATTAATAATCATGATATTTCAATTAATGTTAAAGCATAAAATTCTTATTAATTACTTTGCAAAGTAATATAAATTATACCAAAGAATGAGTAACATAAAGAAGAATTGGAAGTGATAAAATATATTTGTAAAGTTTTTAATGAATTTCATAAGGAGTCAGTATCATCTTTGTTTGAGAGTCCAAATGAAAGATTGACTCCTTTGCCATTTTATTTATAAGATTCTGGAATTTTTGAATAGATTGATAAAAAGGAGTAGCAAAATAAATTTTAGGATTAGTTTTAAATTCATGCTACAAAAATATTTCAACCTTCCTAAATGAAGTAATAATAATATTTGCTATGAAATTATTTAATCTATGTTTAAATGAATATTAATTAGAATTTAAGAATTTTTGTAAGGGACGAATAGAGAATATAAATAATTGAATAATTTAAAAATCATCTATATAATTAATAATTTTAATAATATTTGAGTCTTGAAGAGATGGGCAATTAGTGTGGTTAATGTGAATGCAATAATGGTAAAGTTAATCTGTAAGAGAAAGAGATAGTAATGGTATAATGTGATTTAATTATAAGTTAGATAATACAGAAATAAAAAACAGCAATCATTAATCAAAGGGTTCAATAAAAAGTAATAAGTAGACTGGTGAACCGAATTAATTTAGTAAAGAATAGGATAAGAAAATTATAAAAAAATAAGTTTCTTTAACAAGTTCAAATAATAAAGAGTAAGTGAAATTTGATGAACTATGTAAAGAGAAAGACAAATTAATAAAAGCTGTAATAAAAATATAGAGTAGATATAGAGGATATTCTGTAAGAAAAAAGAAATAATAAAATAAGTTGAAAATAGTATAGAAGAATGTGATATAAGGAGCAAATAAGAATTATATGTAGGAGGATTAAGAAGTTATAAATCTACCTCATTAGAATAACGATACTTAGTTAGAAATGAGAGGACCATATTAATTTAAAAGTGGTGCAATATATGAAGGTTAATGGAAGGGTAATTTAAGAGAGGGTAAAGGAACTTAAATTTGGAATGATGGAGCAAAATATGAAGGTGATTGGAAAAATAATAGAGCATGTGGGAAGGGTAGATTTTATCATGTAGATGGAGATATATTTGAAGGAGAATGGGAAATGGATAAAGCTAACGGATATGGAATATATAAGCATTCAAATGGATCAAGTTATGAAGGATAATGGAAAGATGATCTTTAACATGGATATGGTAAGGAAGTTTGGAATGATGGTTCAAAATATATAGGATATTATTGTTAAGGGAAAAAATAAGGATAAGGCAGATATGAATGGCCTGATGGTTCTTATTATGATGGATAATGGTAAAATAATAGAATAAATGGTCGTGGTGTTTATTGTTGGGCTGATGGTAGAGGATATAATGGTTAATGGTAAAATAATTGCATGCATGGATATGGAGTTTATACTTGGAAAGATGGTAGAAAATATGAAGGAGAATATAAAAATGATAAAAAAGATGGTCATGGAATTTATTATTGGGCAGATGGTAAAAAATATGATGGAATGTGGAGTGAAGGTAAATAAAATGGATAAGGATTATTTATATTTGCAGATGGAACTTAAAAACATGGCATATGGAAGGATGGTAAAAGAATAAAATGGCTTGAAATTGTTACTTGAATAGAACATATTCTCACATTATGAAATTTTTATATATATATATACTTAAATAGTTTATCAAAAAATTTTAAAATCTTTTTTTAATTTAAATAAATAATAAATGGGTAAAAAGGAAACAAAGGATAAGAAACCAGCATAATTCAAGTAAGAAAATAATTAATATCATATTCTAGAAAGATTTATGAATTGTTGTCTAAATATACATAAGTAATCATTGTTGGATTAGCAAATGTTGGATCTAAATAAGTATAAGACATTAGAAGAATATTGGCTAAGAAAAATGCTCTCTTAGTTATTGGCAAAAATGTATATATTATTATATATAATATTTTAGACTCTTTTTAAAAAAGTCTTATCAACAAGAGTTCAAGAATTACCAGATACCCATGAATATTATGAAGATTTAAAGAAGTTTGGAAATGCAATTAAAGAATTAGATTCTTTAAAAAATTAAGTTGCAGGAAAAGTTGGCTTTATCTTTACAGATACACCAGTCTTTGATTTAAAACCAATAATAGAAGAAAATAAAGTTGAAACACCAGCAAGAGTTGGTGCTGTTGCTCCAATTGATGTTGTTATTCCACCAGGACCAACTGGTATGGATCCAGCTTCAATTTAATTCTTCCATGCACTCTAAATTCCAACAAAAATTGAAAAAGGTTAAATCTAAATCACTAAAGATTTTGTTGTCTTAAAATCAGGATAAAAAGTTGGTTAATCTTAAGCAGTCCTCTTGTAAAAATTAGGAAAAAAGCCATTTTTATATGGGTATTTAATCAATTTTATTTTTACAGTATGGAAGTTCTTTCCTGTTATGATAATGGATCCGTCTTGAACAAATAATAAGTCTCAGTTAATTTGAATGATATTGTAACTAAATTCCAATAAAATGTTTAAAATATTTCAGCTATTTCTTTATAAAATGGTATAATTAACTTTTAATTATTCAATTAGGTTGGATAAATGAAGCATCAGCTCCATATGTATTAGCAAATGCATTTAAAGATTTAGCAGCTATAGGTTTGTAAAGTGGATTCATTTTTGATCAAATTAAATAATCAAATACACCTGTCACTGCTGCTCCAGTAGCTGCTAAAGTTGAGTAAAAACCAGCTGCACCATAAGCACCAGCTAAAGTTGAAGAACCTGAAGAAGATGTTGATATGGGAGGTTTGTTTGATTGATCATAAAAAAACAATGGTATATTAATAATACATACAAATAACATACAGTATATAATCTATTATTACACTAAAACTATTTCAATATCATTTTATAGTTAAAATGTATTACAAATAATCACTTACTTTTTTGGATCTTAATATATATGACTATTTCTTACCTTTAAATGAAAGTTAGAGTTTAATTAATCATTAAAATTAAATAAATTAATAACATTTTGAAATACTATTGACTAACATTTGTTATCTTAGATTCAAATTGAGAATTTACGTAAGCTAGAAGTTAATATGATTCTAAAAATGACAGATCAATAGAATTTGTCAGAAAATTTGTGCTCCTCTTAAGCCGAGGGGTCTTTTTAAATCTTTTTCCTATATTTAAATTAATTTTTTTAACTTTTATTTCCTCTATGCCTCCTGAGAACACATAGGTAACTAAACCTTATTTTAATACTAAAATTACGATTATATTATCTCTATATCACTTGACATTTTATTTTTTATAGATTTCTAAAAAATCAAAACATATTAAGAAAAATAAGACAGATGTTCATGAATATACAGATGAGAAGAAAAAAGAAATAGAAAAAGTGATCTTTTGTAATATATTTTAATAGGAATATGCATAAATCAAAAATAAAAACTCTTTATTAGAGACATATGAACCTAAGATTTAGAATGTTGTGAGCACAGTGATATTAAAAATGAAGACAAAGGCAGGAGAAGAAATCGATAAACTTGACTTAGACAATTTGGCTCATACATCATAGAATTGTGAATACAAAAAAAGTAGAAGTTTATTTAAATTATTTAGGTCGATTTCCTGCTCTGATTCAGAGAATTAAAGATCCAAAGTCAACAGCCCTGATATTTGAAGCTGGTAAGATGGTGATAACAGGTACCAAAGGTTAGACTGAGGCAGAAGACGCTGCTAAAAAAGTTTGAAAAAAGCATTTTATTTAAAGTTTAAAAAACAGATAGAGAAGAACAACAGGATTACTATAGAAATAGGCGATATTTAAACAAGTAACATAGTGGCCAACAGCCAATTGCCTTATGAAGTAAATCTAATGAAAATACATGATGATAGAAGTTTATAAGGATCTGTCAGCTATGATGTACATAATCTAATTAATATTTATTAGCGATCAGCATTCCCTGGATTGATTTATAAAATGCAAAATCCTAAACTTGCTGCCCTCATTTTCTATTCAGGAAAGATTGTCTTCACTGGGGCAAAAAATGAAACTTAAATCAAAGATGCCTATTGTTAATTATTCAATATTCTCAAAAAACACGCATAAGATAAAAACAATAAATGAAATAAGAATTATTGAATATTTTTTGTGTTGTTTACATAACTACGTCTTTATTATTTTGTTTTACTAATAATATTTATAAGAGACATCCAATACCACTAAATTAAAACCTATTCATTACGATTTAAAGTTATAGAATTTTATAAATAAATATATTAAATTTTTATTTTATTCATCAAATATCTCTTACTCAATATAAAATTATCATTCCTAAAATTATTAAACTACGTTTATGTATAATCAGATATTACCATAAATCACTTATTTTATGCTTTCATTTAATTAATTATTAATTGTCTTAAAATTCAATTAGAAAAATCATATAAAAAATAAATCAAGATAATCGAATTATAACAATATTATAGAAAGATTATTAACTTTATTATTTTATAATTGATTAATACAAAATTGAATGAAAAATTCTTAAGGCTAAAATAAGCTATTAATTAGCAAAAGGAATAGGACTATATTAACATTAAATTAAGAAACAAATTAGTCTTCAAATTAAACAAGAAAATCATCAATATAAGTTATCAATTTTAATTAACAAGATGTTAATTAGAATCAAGATAAGATTTATTTTTCAACTCGACAAGGCTCTCCAAAAAAACATAGGCACACTAAAAGTATATAAAAATATAAATCAATAGGTTTAGGGGATACTTTAATGAGATCTACATCATAGAAATTAATAAAAACCACTTAAAGAGATTTTCAAGAGAATAACATAATTAAAGAAGGGACAATGTATAAGAAGATTTCTCCTAAAGTGATATTCTAAGATGATAAAATAAATGTTTATTTTGTAAAGGAAGTCAATAAATTCACAAAATCAAATGAAACAAAAATATCGTCTTAAGATATTGGGTATAGAGAACAAACGATATAGGAAATATTTAATCCAAGAGTTTCAATAAAAGGACCAATAGCGTCTAGTTAAAATTAATTATAAGCCAAAATCACATAAGGAATTCTGAGTAATCCAAAACATTTGTTTGCAATTTCTTCTAAGAAGATCAAAATTGATAAAAATGAGTCCTTAAATACTAGCGTCAAGTCTTCCTTATGTAAATTGTTAAAATTATATCATTGACTATATTCATTTACTTTTCTAATGTAGCACGTCTTGCTTCCATTTAATAAATATCGATTGATAATTAAATCTAACTTTTTAAAAATCAAAAAATATATCTAACACATATCAATTAACTTATAAAACACAAATAATTCTATAAATTGATTTTATTCAATATATTATTAATCTTATCAGTAGATCAAATTTCAGTAGATCTTGTATTTATGCCATACTTTAGGCTTTTAATAATGTATTTGTCTGTTTACTTATTCTTAAATAATTTAAGTAGTTTTAAATGCCTAATAGTAAAGAAGTTAAGAAATAAATTATGTTTAAGTTAAATTAAACATTTTAGTAGCTTTTAGAATTAAATTGAAAAAATTTATATTTATTACTATATTGATTTAATAATTTAGGAAAATATTTTTCTTGATTCTTGTAGAGATATTTTTAGATTTCTTGTTTTTATATTGTTATATTGTTTACTAAATATTTATACAATTAATAATTATTATTAACTTAGATTAATTCATTTGAGTTGATCTTTTAGTTTCTATTATAAGAGTAATAATTAATCCTAAATTTATATAAATTAGATTACATATGTTGAATCAATTTAGAGGAATTCTTTTTCCATTTCTTAAGCTTTTTCATAAAATTAGTTAATAATTTTTGTTTGTATGGTTTCAAGATCACATTTAATAGAATCAACAACTGATTTATCTTTAAGAAGTTTTTAATTTTATTCTTCTAATTATTAACTTAATCGATCGACTTGTTCAATCTTTTCTTTCGAATAACATTGAATAAATTATTGCATATATATATAATTAATTTAATTATGTAAATAGAAGCTGAAGGTAACATAAATATCCAAGAGATTTATGAATCAATTATAAGCTAATAATTTAATATTACAATATTGAGATAGTGGGAGAAGGAATGGTTATTAGAGAATTATTTATTTCCTTACATAAAGAATAATGATGAGTATTTTATGCATAATAATTAGATTATCAAAAGAGGTTGTATTTACAACGATTGCAATTTTAAATTTAAAATAATTGGAGTAAATAAACATCTAAGACTGTCTTTAAGATTAGGAGATCCTTTTGAAGATATTTAATTACATAACAAAAGGGTTACCAGATATTAAATCTTTATAATTAGAGGAAAAATAATAAATGTATACATTTTTGATGTAATTGTTTTGTATGCCAGAAACTGAGTTTGTATAAAAAGAGTGTTACAAATATTTGTCATCTGCATTATTATTAAGTTCAAACAAAATAGTATAAAAAATAATAATAATTAATATAGTTTTTAAAATGGCATTTTTTGAGATATCCAAAGATGGTACAATCATATATGGGAGCTTTAAAGATTTAAGGAGGTGGTTAGAAACCTGAATCTTTGTTCATACCTAATTTAGTTTAGGATATGATTTAAATAATTTTTAAATATCCAATTAGTGAGGAAAATTGTAAAGAAAATGAAGAGTTAATTTAAATAGAATCTCAAAATTAATTTAGAACATTTTTAGAAAGAAATTCAGCACCACTTCCAACTCCAAAACACATTATAAAAGCATAGAATGAAAAACTATTATATAGAAAAGTGACATAAATATAGATGAGATATTTGAAATGTATTGAGAAATTTGTAGATTTTATGATTTTGTTATTAAGTTCAATTCCAACAAGAAAGTTTTTAAAAATATATTTACTTTCAACTAATATATTGCCATATTTGAAATGTACATTACCTTAATATCATTCTTGTGTTTTATAAACATTAGTATAGTCATTTGAACATTATTTAACATATCCAATAAATGATTAAGATGGAGAAATATTATCTTTAAAAGATTAATAAGTAATGTAGAAGGATTTCTTAAAAAAATTATAGACAGTGCTTTATAAATAATTTAAGTTTATGGTGTAATAGAAAGAATTGGAAGAATATTAATTTATAAAGAATTTAAGAAGATCAGAAATAGAAAAGTTATTTTCGATGATGATATTAGTATTTCCAGTTGATTTACCACCAAAATTGTATGAACCAGGAAAGAATTTTGATTTTTTGATTTAAGAAGTAATGAAGGCTGCTGCTCCTCCACCTTATTTAAATCATTATTTAAAAGATACTCCAATAATACCTAATGAATAAATGATATGGGATTATAAACATATTCCTGAAGAATCAAAGAGTGGAGTATTAAAATAAGTATTGGCATTACCTAAATTAAATCTTTAATTTTTATGTTTTGAAGATTATTTAGAAAGAAATTATAAGTTGTTTAAACTTGAAAGTGCATTTGATTTAAGAAAGGATTTTGAAGATACTATAATAAGAATGGATCCATAATTTGATTAAAATGGTGCTTTTATTTATTTTAGTGGATGGGCTAAGGCAGCAACTGAAGTTATAAAATTTAGAATTCATGAAGTATAAACTCCTGAAATAGGAAAGAGAATTCCTAGAAGAGTTTATGGAGAAATTTAATATTCAGTTGAAAAGATGGCTTAGAATGTAAGAAAAGATTGGGATAGTTTAAAAAAACATTAAGTTGTATTTTTAATAAGTTTTAGAAAAGAAATAGATATGTAAGAATTTTAAACTGAATTAAATGAAAGATAAAATCTTATAGATTAAATTGAAGAGAATGAAGGATGTAAACTCTTTTGTGAAAAATATGGAATAAGAGCTATAAGAGGTGCTGAAATAGAATTAGTATATGATGAAAGAAGAAGAGAAATTTTAGATTGGGAAGAACCTGATCCTTCTAAAAAGTTTTAAGGAAATTTAAGAATTCTTCATGTATTTTTAGATTAAGCATAATATTAGGATGATATTGATTGTATAAGATTAAATTTAATTATTTTTAGCTGGCATTAATGCAGAAGGAGAAATCTATGGTAATTTTAAACTTTTAGTTAAAAGAAATCCAAAAGAAAATAACTTTAAGGCAATTCTTGGATCCATTTAATAAGTTATTTTACAAAAGCCCAAACTACCAAAGTTTTTAGATGAAATACTTTTGGGTTATGGAGTAGAAGATATTTCTTCATCTTAATATTATATGAAAAATCATACAAATAGTTTAAATTTTAATCTTCAAGATACTATTATTGATTAATAACATTATATTGATGTAATATAATCAAATTCTTTTATTCCAGAAGAATTAAAATCTAAATTGAATTATGGTAATATAAATATTCCAAAAAGAATTTCCAATAATATAAGATTCACTAAACCTTAAATTAATGCAATAATATCTGCTATGTATCATGGATTAACATTAGTTGTGGGACCTCCAGGAACTGGAAAAACAGATGTAACTGTTTAAATTGTTAATTTACTCTATAAAAATTTCCCAAATGAAAAAACGCTTTTAATTACTCATTCTAATCATGCTTTAAATGATATTTTTTAAAAAATATCAAAAATGGATGTAGCTGAGAAACATATGCTAAGATTAGGTATAGGAGTTAAGGATTTGAAATTAAGTAAAACATTTTCAAGAGAAGGCAGAATTGATCATATGTTAACTAGAAGATTGCAATTATTAGAAATAGTTGGATAATTATAAAAAAGTTTGAAAATTATGTTTTCAGAGGAATATTCTTGTGAAGTCTCAGAATTATTTTTTAAATTACATATACAAAGATTATGGAATGATTATTAAGAAAAAATTTAATAAGATCCTAATGTGAGTTTTCCTTTTAATGCTTTTGTTGAATTAAATCCATAACTTTTTGAAAAAGCTGAAACAAAAGAAGATTAATATAAAATTATTGAAGACATATTTGAATAGGTTAGAGAATGTAGACCATTTGAGTTATTAAGAAATAAAAAGGAAAGAGGAAATTATATTATATGTCATTAAGCTAAAATTATTGCAATGACTTGTACTCATGCTGCTCTTAAAAGAAATAATTTCTGTGATTAAGATTTTTAATATGATAATATAGTATTTGAAGAAGCTGGATAGATATTAGAAATTGAAGCTTTCTTACCATTAACTATGTCTTTAACAGGAAAGGTAAAAAGATTAATAATGATTGGAGATCATAATCAATTACCTCCTGTTATTAAGAATGTAAGTTTCTAAAAGTTAGCAAATATGGAATAATCCTTTTTTATCAGAATGATTAGATTAGGTGTATTTTATCATCAACTTACAGATCAAGGTAGAACAAGATAAGAAATAATGAAACTTTATTCTTGGAAATACAAATAATTAAATTCTTTATAAAGTTGTTAACCTAATTAAGATAATCAATTTGGATATGCAAATGCTGGATTTAGTAAAACATTTTAATTTATTGATGTTGATTATAGAGGAGTTTATGAAAATAAACCAATGCCATACTTTTATTAAAATATCGTTGAGGCAGAATTTATTGTTGCTACGTAATGATTCTTAATATTTTATTTAGCTACATGTATTTAGTTTTGAAAGGTTATGATCCAAAATAAATCACTATCTTAACAACTTATAATGGTCAAAAAATGCTTATTAAAGATATTATCACTAGAAAATGTTCATGGCATTCACTTTTTAGAACTCCAGAAAAGATAACTACTGTTGATAAATTTCAAGGATAATAAAATGATATCATCTTAATTTCAATGGTTAGAACATCTCACCCTGGATATTTAAGAGATATTAGAAGAATTATAGTAGATATTTATTTATATTTTATAGGTTGCTTTTTCAAGAGCTAAATTCGGTCTTTATATTTTTGGACATCTGTCAATATTTAATAAAGTGCCTGAATTATAAAACTCATTCTCATAATTCATATCTGAACCATTGCATCTATTACCTAATGAAACTTATAAAACTTTAAGGGCTCATGATGATTATTAGTTAGAATAATCTTAAAGTGTTAATCATCCTGATCAGATGTATGAAATTATTAAGACATAATTAATTCAAAGATAAAGACAAAGTTCCAATGTTGAAACTCTTTCATTAATACAATAACAATAAGAATCTTAGAGTTAATGAATAAAATATATATATATTTAAAAAAAAAATAATCATATTGTTCCCTCAAGACTAACTGATATTAAATTGTTTTTTAATGGTTAATATAATCTAATAAATTTGTTACTTAGTTCCTAAACTGCTCTTGAATGTTTAAATTATTATTATTAAAGTTTTTTAATGATATAAATCAGATTTATTATTAATCGCCTCTTATGAATATTAAATTTGTTGTTATTTTAAATAGAAAAATGGATACAACTTAATCCAGTTATTATGAATTTTGTTTGTTTTCTTAATTCAATGAAAATTATGTATCTATTTAATTATTATGTTGAATAAATATATATATGTGAATTCCTGTATAAATTTTATAAAATATAAACTTCTATTTTCTAATAATTTAGGCAAAATAAACAAATTTATAAATAATTATTTAATTTCTATATTAAATATTCTGGCATACCTCTATAAATGATATTTGGAACATATAGAATATAAATATAGCCATATCATTGTTTATCTAATGTTGTTCATTTTTTCATTAAATAATCAATACTACAAAAAAGAAGCTAATTAAAATCAAATCAAGTATTTAATCATTTCCATTTAATCCTTCTTCCTTCAATCCATTCACCTTATTTTTAATCTCCAAGTTCAGATACCATCATTCCATGACCATGCTGTTTTCCCTATTTCCACATTCCTCTATAACTACTTCCATTTTTAAATTTAAACACTCCAAATCCTTCCTTCATGTCATAGTGATACTAAAATTAATTGATTTGTTTAAACATTACATTTCCATCATATTCACGTCCATCAGGCCAAGTATATGTACCTTTTCCATGCATTTAATTATTTGACCAATAACCTTCATACTAAATTAGATATATTTATTACTTTACTTCCATTTTCATATACAAAGATACCAAATCCCTCAAATTTATTTTTCTAAAATTCACCCATATATTTGCTTCCATCTTAATATGTCATTTCACCGTATCCTTATTTATATCCAAATTTATATCCACCTTTATATTAGAAATGTTTATTAATTTCATAACCTTCTCCATGAAATAATGAATTCTTCCATTCACCTTTATACACAAACCCATTTTAATCATTAAACTCTCCATAACCACAAAATTCATCCTCTTCAAAGTTTCCTTCAAATCTAGATATAATCTTATTAATTACAAACTTCCATCACAACCTATTTATCTTCCCTTCCCTGATTTTTAATTATTTCTAAATCCTCCTTCATAAAAAGAGCCATCAGTATTTATCTACCTACCAAATCCTTCTTTTAGTAACTATTTAAATTATCCTTAATAATAGCATCCATCATTCATTAAATAACAAGCATAATTCGTCTTTTAAAGTGGTGCCAATTCTTTCAATTTATTTTCAACTTTTAAAACTAAATTTTCAGGCCACTCTATTTTCTCTGCATCATTTGGTATCATTTCTATAACTGAGACAATTTATTAAGTAATATTTGATTCTAAATGATTTTTTGTTATACCAATCTAAACCTGCTTATCTAAATTTTTAGGTTTTAACAAATAACCTGAATATATTAAAACATTTACGTCTAACATTTGTTTAAATTTTTATTATTTTTGTTTCATCTAAAGATATCTCCTCTGTTGGTATCAATCCAATTTCTCCTTCAATCTTTAACCTACTTATATCCTAGTTTGAACAACATACAATTCCCATATAATTTAATAAATTTTTATTATTCAATTGTATTTAGCTTATCATCTTCAAATTAATTTTTTATTATCTATTCTCATTATTCCTAAACCAGAAAAAACAGCAAACTTATTTCTATAAACGAATTGCGATTTATCTATTTATGCCCCTATAATACTTATTTAAAACAAAATTATATAACACATTTAAGATCACTCTAATATTTATAATTAGTATTTTATTATATACTATTAATTAGATTTCAATCAAAATTAAAAATTTTCAGATTTTTAGATTCATTGGATATATTTACAATAAGTCGCTTAAAAATTTTCCCTTATTAATCATTATGTTATTTTGCATCCAAGCTTAATTATATCTTAAATATCATTTAAGTATTAGATAATAGTCTCTTTTCTGAATTTTATTTTCTACAAAAATAAGAAAATTTAATTTATTGAAATAATAGTTAATTTATAGAAAATACAAGGAAGATTAATTATAAATTAGAAAATACAAAATTTTTCCAAACAAATTTATTCAAGATCATCCTATTTCAAAATCATATCATATTTGTATACTATTTCAAAAAGATAGATTTTTTTTTAGTTTTGTGCATTTATTTAAAGCAAAGAAAAAATTAAAAATTGAAATTTGCATTTTTTTTATTAGAATATTATAATCAATGCTATAAAATTTATCCTGAATAAATTTAATACAATTTCTCTCCTTTAGGATTTAGTTTAATAATGTTTTTTATTTTGATTTGAGAAATAAAATAAATATAATAATAATATTCAAGAATAATATCAAACAATCCTTTGAACTTTGCTCTCTTTTATAAGAAAATAAAATTTTGTAAAATTTATATTTTTGAATTAATTAGAAATATTTTACATTGCTAATAATAATATATATATATTTTATAATCAGATAGGAAAATAAAAATAATAATTCTTTTCTTTATAAATTTATCTGACTTTTAAGTATGCATCATTAAAACAGAAAGCAATTTTTTGGTTTAGAGATTCTCTAATCATTATATTTATTTTTTAATTTAATATTAAAAATGGCCTCATAATTATTGGAAAAGCTATTTCAAAATAATCCTCAATTGAATGAAATCTAAAGAGATCACATTTCTGAGACATTATAATACTTAGAGAAACATAAAATATCTTTATTGTTTGAAGTAAAAGTTAAAATGATTAATATTAGGAATTATTATCATAATTGATATTGGGGATGGATAACTAACCAAGAAAAACACTATTAGATGCACTAAAAAATTATAAAAATTAATAATTCTTTGAAACAAGTGATTATGAAGTAATGTTTGAACATTTTGATACATTTAATTATAAAACAGTCAAAATTGATTCAATCAAACAAGGATTGTAAATAATTGGAATTACAAAATCATTAGAGGAAATAAATTAAAAATACTAAGCAATTTTAAAAAAAGGATTTGTCAATAAAAATGAATTTGTTGATATTTTAAAAAGTGAGTATAGTAAAAGATGAATTGGGAATATTGCTGAATATAACAATTAATATTGATAAAAATTCTCATTATGGATGGACTTAATTAATACATGATCCTTTAGTTTTAAATTCGTAAATGTTATTTAAAGTTGTTTAGCTAATATTCATCAAAGCTTCATGTGTAAAAAAAGCTTAATGTCCTGTGATAATGACATTGGGGAATGATAGTAATCTGGCTAAAACATCATCAGTTAAGACTTCTTAACTTATATCTTTAAAGAATAATTTTTCTTCTTATTCATAAACATCTAATTTTTAATTTAGATTTATACCTATTGCTAAGCCTCCGATTTTTTTTTTTTTCAAAGCGTTAACAACTGCCTTAGTTTCAATAAGTGCCCCTCTTCCTGTGTTTATGATCATAACATTTTCTTTCATTTTAGTGATAGAATGTTCATTGATTATGTGTCTGGTTTAAGGTGTTAAAGGACAATGTAAAGAGATGTAATCACTTTAGTAAAAGATGTCACTTTCATCAACATATTAAAATCCTATAGATTCAGCTAGTTTTTGATCTTTCTAAGGGTCATAAGCAATAACATTCATTCCAAATCCTTTACAAATTTTGGCAAAGCAAATTCCAATTTTTCCAAGTCCAATCAATCCTATTGTTTTTCCATGTAAATTAGATCCCACAAGTCCATCAAGTGCAAAGTTGTGATCTCTTGTGCGATTAAATGCTTTATGGATTTTACGATTTAGGGATAGGAGAAGAGCAATTGAAAATTCTGCAACTGCCTCTGGAGAATAAGCTGGGACTCTTACAACCCTTACTCCAAGTTTATCAGCTTCTTTTAAATCTACATTATTGAATCCTGCACATCTTAAAGCTATTAAATCTATTCCTTGAGTAGAAAGTTTTCTTAAAACTTAAGCAGAAACCTTGTCATTTACAAAACAACTAAATAATTACATAATACTATATATATACCAAACTGTATCACAGTCATGTGCCAATCTTGCACTATTCTCATTTAATTATTCTGCAAAAAATGATAATTTAACTTGTTTTTCTTCTGGAAGACTTGTATTAACTTTTGTCAAGTAGTCTACATCATATTTCTTAGTATTGAATACTGCAACTGATGGTTGCTTTTATTTATTTTAAAGATATACTTTTATTGTATTGAACCCAAATCTGCTTAAAAATTTAATCATATTCTTTAAAATAAAATTATTTAAATTTCAAAATTTATTGCGGATTTAATTACAGAAAACTTCAAAAATAATATAATTAAGTAATAAAAATAAGACAATTTTTTATATATTATAGATTATTCATCTCTTGAACTTTAAATGAAAAAATCCCAATGAGTCTTAAGATTTGTAAGCTTAGTAAATTTCTTATACTATAATGTTTTTTATTTAATCTAAAGTTAATCTCATAATAAAATACATTCTACTAATAGAAATCAATATCAAGTCTTATTGGCTTATAATAATTATTGTAAAAATTTCGAATAACACTTCTGAAATTAAAAAAACTTTTCTGTAAATTGAACCTTAAAAAATAGAAATGAATTTCTATAAAAACCTTTAAGATTTTTGATTCTATAAAAATAGTGAGTCTTAGACATAATAATATAAAATAACTATATTGAAATCATTATATTTATATTTTACACTCAAATAATATCTTATTATATATTATTTTTGATTTATAATATTTTTAGAACTGTGATGGTAATAAAAAGTGAATAAATGTCATTAATTTTTCTAAGATTGTAAGCAAATTTGAATTTTTTGAGAAATCATTAAGAACTTTTCTTAGAAATCTCTAATAAACTCTCTCAATAAAAAAACAACTTAAACAAAAATAGATAATCCAATAGTTCCAATCATTACCCATCCTATTTAAAATCTTTGATCAGCACTTAGTAAACCAATCTAGAAAATAATGAATAATTTACTATATCGTCAAGTGCAAAACCAGTTGAAAGGAGCATTAAAATAAAGATACAAAAATCAGGAACTCCATTTTAAATAAGATCGGCCTTGGATGTAAATGGATTTTCATAAATAATTAAAGCTATATTTAAAAAGCTTATGAAGCAACAGAATATTGTTTATAATAGTGGTTAATAATAGAAATATACAACAACTATAATAAATAAAGCTTTTCTGTTTAAGTTAATATATGAGTACATCATAGCTGTACTAGATTTAGTATTAATATTTTCATATAATGTACCATATTAATTTTAAAAGAGTTCATGATCCAATAGAATATAGTGTTTTGTTGTAACATAATAAGATATGATTAGAGTGATGATGCAAATACTGATACTAGCATATGACAAAATTTGATTGATGAATACAATTTCATAAACCATAAGGCTATTAGGTATAGTAGTAATTTATAGAATGATAGCTAAAACTAAATCTAAAAAGGCTAAGTTAAATGATTTAATTAGATTAGATAAGAAGTTAGACTTAAATTTATATAGAGGTTAATAAATTTTGTTGATAAGATAGGGGAATCTTTGATTTTAATTCATGTTTTGGTCATTTGTTTAATTTAGAGTATTTATAATTTAAGATTAAGGTTGTTGTTATTTTTTTATTTTAGTGAATTTATTTTATGTATTCAAATTAAACGAGTTAGTTTAACTATTTTGTTTCAATTAGAAAACTCTGATTTATGATGATCTTTTTTTTAGAGCAGGAGGCCATATAAATTCTATGAGTAACAAAATTAAGTAACAAAATATTTAACCAATAATATTAATTGCAATAATAGCAAAGCAAGTCCAAGTATTATTAAGAAATATTGGATCTACACCCTTTTCCATAAATTTTTTTGGGCTTTCAATATAATAAGGATCTTATGGTTCATTAAGAACAAAAAATTGTGGGAATATTTAAAAATCTCCCCAAGCTGATTTTTGGAAGAAAATTCTAACATTTTCAGGGAAATAAATATTAATATAATAAAGATTATTAATCCAACTTAAAATATCCAAAATAGTCCAAAAGAAATTAAATCCTCCTATTATAACAGTAGTAGGTGCTATAAAATAGAGCATATCACCAAATGCAGATTAGGCATTACTAGCACTTTAAGCTAATTAAACTTGATTTTAAGAATAAATAACTTTTTTTCTAGGTGTGATAATAATTTCTCTAGTTTCTTCTTCTAGTATTCTTTTAGAAGTTCTAATTTTGACTGGAATAAAGATATGTATAAGGTTTCCAACATCAATAGTTTTATTAAATTAAAAATCAATGTTGCATTTTGAAATATTATCATCAATTTATTCATATTTGATAAAAGATAAAAAATCATTAGAAAGAAAAGAATCAATAGTGATGTTTATTTTAGTACAAGGATCTCCTTAATCAATAGGAAAATTTAGAGCGATACTTTCAGATGTAGTAGAATTTGTATAAGTAGCATCAACTTAAGGTTAAGGTATTTTAGTGCATATAGTTTCTTTACAAGAATAATACTTTTCTATTTAACATTACGAATCACAACCATCTCCATCTAAATTATTACCATCATCACATTATTCACTTTCTACTAATATTGCATCACCACATTTTGTAATACATTTACGATTAATAATATAATATCCTTTAACATTTGTACATTTAGGACATAATCCTAATTCATCAGGTTTAGCATCTATTATTGTACATGTCAGACAAGTTTTATTATCTTTACAAGTTTCACAACTATCTTAACATTTTAAACATTCATCATTTTTAAAAAAATAACCATTATAACATTAATCACAAGAACCTTTTAGTCCTTTTAAAGAACATGTTTAACAATTCATAACACATTAAAAACAAATTGATCTTGATAACATTTTATTTGTACAAGTAAAAAATTAATCTATTTTACAATCTGTACAACCATCTCTACTAATATTATTACCATCATCACATTATTCTCCTTTTGTTAATTCACCATCACCACAATTTATATAATTACAAATATCATTTACTTTACCTCTTATACTTGAACAACTTTCACATTAATTCTATTCTGTCTCAAAATATCCCTTTTAACATTAACATCGATATTCCTTCACTTCTCTATTTACTATTTTTTATTTTATAATAAATATTATACCATCAATGCAACTTAAACAATCTTATATACTAGAACAATTAAAACATGGAGGAGAACATTCTATATATTTTTAATATTATTTTACTTAAACAAATCTCTTTCTCATTCTCAAAGAATCCTTAATTACAATTACATGAAAAACCATCTTAACTAAGAGATCTATTCTCAGAACATGTTAAACATTAATTATTATAAGTACATTTTCCACATTTATGATTACATTTTACACATTCTTAATTATCATTTTAAAAATATCCATCTGTACATTCACATAATTTATTCTCAGGATTCATCTTTCTTAATGAGATACAACCCAAACATCCAATTTCTGAACCATTTACACATGATACACAACTTTTATGACATTCAGTACAAATTCCATTATTATTTTAATATTCATTTGTTTTGCATGAGCAAACACCTTTTATAAGTTAAAACTTTTTTGTCTCATCACAACTTAAACAATTATTAGCATTCATTGAGCAAGTTTAACAATTTGATGAACAATCTAAAACGATGAAATAATAGGTTTACTTTCACATAATCCTAAATCATGATTAATAAATTGATTAGGTAAAATGCATTTACATTCTTAAGCCTCTAATTTAAATTTAATATCACAACTCAAACAATTAGTTGAAGTTTTTTCACAAGTTAAACAATTTTGATTGCATTCTGTTATAATTGATAATATTTTTACATTAGCATATACCATTAGAATCAAAATAGCCATTTTTGCATCTACAATTATTACTAACGGAATCGAAAATTTTAAATTCAGTTATGAGACAGCAATCATTAGAATTAGTGCAAGTTAAACAAGTAGAATGACATTGAATACAATCTGTTAGAGTAGAATTCATATAATAATTTGAAGGACAAGTACAAGTTTAATTAATAATTACCATATTAATTGAAACGCAACTTAAACATTATGTTGATGTATTAATACAATTTAAACAAGGAGATGTGCAAGCTAAGATATGTATATGTTTTCATACTTAAACAAGATGATTATGATGAGGATGATGATGATAGATAATATCCATCAACACAAGATGTACAGACAGATTAACTGGAACAATATAAGCAAGGTGAAACACATACTATTAAATTTTAATTTTTATTTACATAAGCAAGTGTTTAATGATAATTAATAATACCCATTTTAACATTCACAAGTATTAGTTGATATATTGAACTGTGAATATAAAATTGTAGAACAACAATTATCTGGATTAGAACAAGATGTACATGTTGGATGGCAATCTTGAATATATAGTATAGAAGATAATACTTTTGCAAATGGAAGTAAGTGAATCATAGAATTAATTTGAAGCACAGATACAACTTCCATTAGATTAAGTCATTGTAGAATCAATGCAAGATAGACAACTAGATTAAGTGTTTATACAAGTTAAGCAAGGTTTGAGACATGCTAATAGATTATGATTAAATTATTTTACGTTAACATTAAAAGGTAGTATCTAAGAAATATCCATCAGAACATAAATCACAGATATCAATTGTTGAACAGTAAATACAAGGCGAAATACATGCTAAAAGTAAGAATGATAATTTACGTTGACATGCTAAATTTATATCAATATAATAACCAAGAATACAATCAATACATTAAGTTTCTGATAAGCAATTCTTACATTAATTAACACAATCTTAAATATATTAAATAATATATTATACTTAAACAAGTATTAGCAGAGGATAAATAATAATTGGTATTAATACAAGTGCTACAATAAACATCTGTTTCACATGTAAGGCATGGTGAAATACATACTAAAAGTATAAAAATGATATACATATGCATTAATTAGTTGATTAATCATGATAATAAGTATTATCAATGCAAGAATTACAAACTGTAAGATCATTACATGTCAAGCAAGGTGGAATACAGAGTAAACATTGATTGTTTGATAAATAATAATAGTTTATGCAAGAGAGACAATAACTGGAAGTTGTACATTCTAAACATGGATATATACATAATTAGCAAGTGATATCAATATAGTAAGTTTAATCAATACATTAGGTGCATTAATTTAAAGATATGCAATTTACACAAGGATATACACAACCTTTATTAGAATAATAAATATTTACTTTGACATTCTAAATTATTATTAAAATATCCATTTTAACATTCACAAACATTTGATAAAGCATTATAAGAAGAAAAGGAAACACAAGTAATACATGAAGTTTCTATAACACAGTTCAGACATAAGAGAGGACAATTTTGAAAACAATTTCCATTAACTATTTGATATCCTGTTGGACATTAACATGTTGGAATCACTTAAATTGGATATTAACAAGATAGGCAATTTGTTAAAGTGAATTCGCAAGTTTAACAAGGGGGTTGACATACTAATATATTTAATATTATTACATTAACATCCTAATTCTGTTTATAAGTAACCGAATCTACATTCACATTAATTTAATTGATTTATTATCTAATTAATATCTTTACAATTTAAACAGTATTTAGATGTCATTTAACATTCATTACAATTAGGATCACATTCTTGACAAATTCCATTCATATCTTCATATTGAGTTATTGAACATCCACAATAATAATAATTTATGAAATAATTCAAAAATAATTATTTTTTAGATTCTAATGAACAAGATTAACAATTAGTATAATTAATGTCACAAGTTAAACAATTAGGACTACAATCAATACAGAGATTGTTATTTATATCAAGATATTAAGATGAACTACATTAACAATCAGATAATATTCTATTGCATTTTTATAATTCACTAATATAATCACATGACTTTAGTGAATCATTACATGAAACTGCTAAATATATAAGATCAGCTAAAAAGTAATTCACTGTTACAGATCCATTAGTTTTCATCTTAAATTCTATTTAACCAGGCTTTTTCTTTTCTGTAATATAATATTGAGGGCAATATGAATTGGTTGTTTATAATCTTCTGATTGATAAAAATGTTGGTATACTTAAAGGAAATTAATCAACAGCATATGTGATTGTTGCACCTCCTATTGAAAAACCATTGAACTATTTTTCTGAATTAAAAGTTAAATTGAATTAATAGTAAATATAATTAACAAAATGAAAAAATTAGTATTTTAGCACGTATAAATTTTGTAATGAAGTAAATTCAAATTGCGAAGAGGATTATTATTAAAGATTTAAATCTATTTATAAATATTATAATGAATCTAAACACCATCCTAAAATTCCAGCTGAAACAATGTTCTAAAAGGAAGTATTCAGAATAGCAGTAGCAAATAACCCTTATTAATCTGTTTAAATGACATTTAGAAAGTTATTACTCTTACCAGCTACCCATTAAATTTTATAACTTCCATCTTGAGTAAAGCATAAAACTCTTATAAAAAAAAATGTATTTTAAACTTCTGATAAGAAAACTTAGAATTCTCTTGGTGATTAAAAATAAGAATCTATATGTCCTAATAAAGTAATTGCTACATAAGGCAAACTCAAATAAATTTTTGAAAACTTTATCTAATATAATTTATCAGCTTAAGTAAAACATTGAAATTCAAATATACCTGAATCAATTGTCATATCAGGTAAGTATTCTAATAATAGTTTTCTTTATTAATTTACTTATACAATCTGGTGAAATCCCATCATCAAAATACCCAGCAGGACATTTACAATCTGGTTCATTAATTCTGATGCCAGCACAAAGCAAACAATTATTTGGATACATTTAATCACAATCTAAACATGTAGGATGACATTTAGGAACACATTCTTAAAGTTATTAATTTAACACATAATATATTGGGCATTATTCAACACACTACCCTTAAAATAAATAATAACCCTAAACCTATAGACAGATATAAATTACATTTAAGCAATAAAAACATTAATTGATAGAATATGTACAAATTCCGTCTTATAAATATTAATAAGGTGAGTAAAATCCATTACTAATTCTCACACTAGACAAATAAAATGATTCTTAGTTTAAATCTTTATTTATATCAATATTTACTCTCAAATGATCCTATAAATAATTTATCTACATCTGTTAAATCAAATACGTCAAAATAAGAGCTCAAACATTTTATCTAATCCGTTTAGATAAATTAAATATAAGTCATTTTAACCAAATTTATAATTCCCAACATTAATTTTTATTGAAAATCTATGGAACAACTAAAGCTTTGACTATACTATGAAAATGAAACTATAATAATTTATGAATTAATATTTGCTGAAATCTTAATTCTTTATTATTATTCCCTTTTCGAAATAAATGAGAATATAATTAACTCTTATTAAATAGGAGCAGAAGTTAATTAAAACTCTATTGTTATTGATTTGGAAATTAAAAAATTATCAATCTGAATGTATTATTTGGTTGAAAATTATATCATTTATTCGTTTACAACAATTAGGGGATCATAAATATCCTATTATAATGAATCTCCCAATTGTACAATATGTTAATAATTACTCCAGTCTTTTAAAATTTGGGTTTGTATTCTTTCATACATTTTTAAATCTAATATCACTTCAGGTTCGACATATGTCATGATAGTCAAAAGATCAATCATTTACAAATTATTATTCACCTCAATTACTCTCATTTTTTTCATTGTAATAGAGATAGCTTCTCCATCAAATGGATAAAGGGATAACTCATAATTAGTATTAAAGTAATTATATTAATTTATCGCTGGTTATAGAAAGCCAAAAGAATAATAATTATTTTATTGCAATTAAAAACATTTAGGTTATTGTCCATTATCATAATAAATTTCTATATAACAAAGTTGTTGTTTTCCATATGCCACAATTTATTAGTAATAAACATATAACCAAGAATTTTGTATTTAGTTTTAAACAAATGGATAGAATTAATTCTAAACATAAATTTTAAATAGTTATTAACCATATAATATGTTGATTGTGTTTTCATTAATTTGCATTATATGTTGATCTAAATTATTCCTTATAGGATTCACCCAAACTAAGCTTGATAGAAATAATACTTCCAATATTAAAATCCTCTTATGAGCTATTGATTCCAAAGTCATTTACATTATACAAGTAGATATTTTAACTCTCTAAATTTCCAAAATTATGCTATAACTTAAGGGGATAAATAAGATTGCTATAGAATAAATAAAAAGTTATACTCTGATTCTAGAGAGTAAAACTAACTTAAGATTTATGAAATCGACAGCCCTACTACTATTAAGTAATTAAAAATCATATTTATAATAATAATTTATTAAACAGTATTAAGAGATCTTAATAATCACATTTATTTATAATTAAAAAATTGCATATGAAATTTCAATTTTTCTTTTATCAAAATATTTTTTACATTACGAGAATTACTCTAGGAATGAAGTTATAGCTTTTTTCTCCTTCTATCTACTTTAATTTTTTTAATATGAATCATTCTAAGAGTACTAAACAGTATTATATAAGATTTCATATTTGTATTGATCAAAAGGATTTATAAATAAATTTTGAGTGAAACTTTTTAAGAATTCAGTGGAAAAGTTTTAATTTAGCTATATATAATCTTGAATTTCTAAAATGCTCAATTTTTATGATTAATTGAAATAAGCTAGAGTTTGAATAAGCATGATTATAATGATTATTAATTTGTTGATTTTTGCAATTTATTGTATTTTTAACAGTTTCTGGATTTTTGTCAATAAAAACTACATTTTGATTGTTATTATGATAGTTAATTAAACGAAAAAGCCTTTCTTTTAAAATTCTCATAATTAAAATATTTATAAAAGTAATTAAAATCACATAAAATTTTCTTTCAGCTCTTCTATATTAATTTTGAGGTTGGAATATTGAAATATAGATATTTTTTAGAGTGCATAAAACAAAATAAAATGAATATATTCTGATAAAAGTTGATTATATAAAATAAATTAATAAAAGATGGCTATGATGGTTCCCCCCCAAATGAATCCCAAATATAAGACTTCACTCTGTAAGCATTGGACAACAACAGGAAACTGTAGTATTGGATCTAGATGTCATTTTGCTCATGGAGAAAGAGAATTGCGTAATCCTAATGATGTATTATAATTGAATGGATTAATTTTAGCCATTACCCTAATTACCAAGTCAAAATTTACAAGATCCTAAATTACTTTAAGTTTATTTTTCTGGTAGTTTGGGAATTCATAATTATAAAACCACATTATGCAAATATGCCAGCAATAATACATGTAGATATTAAGAAATGTGTCATTATGCACATTCTCCTGAAGAAATGATACCATTTGATAAGGTTAGAAATGTAACAACATAAGTCTTAATTTCAAACTATGTCTCTCTTATTAAGAGTCATTATTTGTTAAATAGTCACTCTATTCCAGGATTGAATATTAATTAAGAATAAGTGGAGGTATTTTTCATCTCTTAATTTTTAGTTAGCACTTCAAATGGAATTCTAAAAATTGATAGTAGCTCAATAACTAAAATTCGTTCTCAATCATCTAGATAAGATGGATTATACATAATCTGAATTGAGATTGAAATTAAACACAGCTCATGAATTATTAAATGCAAACAACTTTCCAGGTTGCAGTTCAACAATTAGTGATATCATTAATAGACCAAATGTACCATCAGATGAAAAGAAACATTATTAAGATATTCTTTATGAAAGTGCTTAGGAAGGATTTAGAATTGTTGAAGGATATTAAAGATAAATATTTGAATTCTAGTGTGAATAAGCTTAACAATTGTAGGAGACTTATTAGAAAAGTGAAAATCCATAGACCTTATTTGGTAATGCACCCACTCTTCCTACAACAAGTCTTCCAGGGTATAGGTTTTGATATATAAAATATTTTAAATATGAATTCACAATAGACATCTAATATATTAAACAATTCAGATATTATTGAAGGAGTTGAATAACTATCTCAAAATAACTCTATCATTTAACAAATGTTTAAAGAATTAAACTTATCTACTGAATATCCTGATTATTCAAGTGTAGATTATTGGAATAATAGATACTCTTTATAAAAGGAAAAATGCTTTGAATGGCTATAAAGCTATTCTAAACTTTAACCATTTATTCATAATTGTTTATTTGGTAGATTTGATATCAGTTAAATATTATATGTTGGTTGTGGGAATTCTCAATTATAAGATTATATGTAATTAGATGGTATAAAAAATATTCGATGCATTGATTTCAGTGATATTTTAATCAGGTAAAAACAATAATAAACAATTCCCTATTATTTAATGGATGTAACAAATAAAATTGATTTTGAAGATGAAGAATTTGACTTTATTATTGATAAATGCCTTTTGGATAGTTTGATGAGTGGAACTTCATTTTTTGAGAGAGTCTCTAAATATTTAAGTGAGTGCTACAGAATCTTGAAACCTAATGGTACTTTTATGATTGTATCTTATGGGCATCCAGATATCAGAACTATATATTTAAAGATGTTCAAAATTTAAATTATTCAAATTGAAAAAATAAAAATAGAATAATTCAATGATATTGAGCATCATTATATATATATGTGTACTAAGTGATTTTTTATATATATACTCATGTATATTTATTTAAAAATTTTGATATGAATCCTGTTTTATTTGGATAGAAATTTTGTTCTGTTTAACTCATTTATCGACTTTTAGAAAGCAATTGTTGACTTAATTACTCATTCTCTTTAATATACTTAGAATTGAGCATCATCAAATAAACTTCATTTTTTTCAGATTCTATCAACTATTAATTCAATTTATCTATCCTTATTTTAAATTGCTCTTTCTCTTCATAATATTACTTATTTAACAATTCTAATTCTTAAATGTATTACTGAGAAATCATATCATTCTAAAATTAAATTATTTCTTCTTTCTAGGTAGAAATCAAACCAAGTAATTCTTTTTTTAATTTTTATAGTTCTAATTGCACATATTTAATTAAAGCACTAAAAGTTTCAGCTAATTATTGCTTGATAAAATCAAACTTATTAGTTTTTTCTTCTGCAATTGTTTTCATGATATTTAATTGTTAATACAATTTTCTATATTCAAAGTCTTTTAACTTTAATTCTAACTACAATTGCAAATTCATGAAAAATATAATAATAACTCAATATATTATTTTAAACATTCAAGAATTGATCAATTGTAAGTTACTAGGGGTCTAACTTTAGGGAATATGAAAATGGCAATCTATAAATATTAATAATTATAATCATTCATTTAATCTATCTACAATATCACAAAGTAATTAAGATGTCCATCTTGCTTACTTAGGTATTTAATTTAGCAATCCTAATCTAGATTCAATATTTTCCAATTCCAAATGAGGTTTGAATCTTTTCATAGCTGTAGATCCTATTGAAAGTTAATGATTTTCCTCTCTCATTCCTAATTAACCTCTTAGTTTATTAATCTCAATCTATTCAACTTTAATCTTTTTTCAATATAAATAAGAGTACATTATCACGCATTCTTTCGATAGCTTTCAATTAATTTTATTGTAACAACTGTTTTATTGAATCTGTCATATAAATTAAATCATCCATCAAGGACAAATCAAATTTTTCAATTGCTCTTTATTCCCCATTGATAAATTGAACATCCCTAATACAACAAAGTCGAGAAATTTCTGAAAATTCATATAACTCTTCATTCTAAGGATTAATTAGAATTCTATAAAGATTTTTCTTTATTCCAATAAGGTTTTTTACAACTTGAAACAGTTTTCTTGAGTTGTTTAAATAATCCTAATATAAAAATGAAATTTTACCTTCAATAAATGTAGATTATGAGTTAGAGTATAAAGTTATTCTGTAAATTTTTTATATTATTAAGCTAAGGGATTACGTACTGTTTCCAGCAAACTTATCTTTTTGCGTTTGTCACCTTGTTCTTTTAAAGATTTGAATCTTTATAATGTAGTTTGACTCTCAGTTTGAAATAGCTCGACTTCCTCTTTAATTTTTTTGATTGTTGCATCACCAACTAAAGGAGACCGAAATGTTCTCACAGAATTCAAATGTTCTAAGTAACCTTATAAACTTGTATCTTTTTTCTGAGTTGGTCTAGGAGTCAAGGTGGTTTTTAATTTATCTTTATGGTTTCTCTCAAAAGCTTATTCTCCTTAATGGGTCAAATTTATCGGTCTGGTTTATTAAGAAACTAAGTGTCTTACTGGGGCAACAGTATGAAATCGATTTGTTGTTCTACTTGGTTGTTCTCTACGATGAAAGGTCAAGGTTTCTTAATGTTTAAAGATAGGAAAGGCTACATTATTCTTTAAAATAAGGCTCATTATAATTATATTAATTTATGGAAAACAAAAAGGAGATTAAAGATCAAGAAAAATCTAAACCAATCGAGAAATCCAAATCCTTGGTGCCCATGTTAGATAAAGAAGATATAGAGACGTTGAAATTACAATTATAGAAATATGAATATTTGAAATTGAAATATAATTTGTGATAGTAAATCATTATTCAAGAGTTTAACATCTTATTTTTATTAATTACAAATCTTTCATTTGTTTCATAGACTTAATTAGATAGTTTTTCTTTTAATTTGTTAACTTCTTTTTCATCACATCTACAGTGTTAAACTAAAGAAAGTTTTGTATTAAACTACTTTTAGTTCTAGAACTTAAAGAATTTTTATTATTCATCGTATAGATTGAATCAGTTCTAGATGAGAAATCCTTATTCTGTTCTACATCATATTTTGTTGGAGAACTACCCTCAGTCTTTTAATTTATTCCCAACTTTTATTATAGTTATTAATATTATATTGATTGTTTAAAACAATTTCTTTTTTACTTATTTTCTTCAAATTTCACCTAAAACAAAGCGTAATCTTCTAAACACTTTGGAATTTGCTTTATACTATTTTAAGCATTCACACTTTAATTAGTTTAATTGCTTGACATGTTTCCTTTGTTAATCATTGTCTCTTATTTCACTTAAAATCGATTAGTTATTCCATAATACTACTTTTTACAATTTTCTTCCTAATTACTTTAATTCCTATCTCTGATTAATTTCTTAGTGGTCTCCCTATGCTCAATACTCTTTTTAATTATTGTTTCAAATAGTTAAGTTCTAGCTAATTATTTCTTTTCCATCATGTTCTTCAATCCTTTCACACATTATGATGATCCTTTTAATAAAAATGATTAAGCACTAATCTTAAAAAATTTTGCTTCCTAACTATGAACAACTACTGTATAATAATATTTATCTTAAAATAGTGATTCCTCTCCTATAACTTATTAATTATGTAAACTGCATAATAACATTTAGTGATTTTCATGTTTTTTCATTATTGCAACTTCTCCTTCATACAAAATGTAAAGATTACTAGCTTAATCTCCTTCTTAAGTAACTGTTTCATCTCTTGATTTAATTTCTTCATAAAAACTGTACATTAGACTTTCTACCATCAAAGTTGATGTAATTTTATCAAAATATGGAATTACAGATTAAAAAACCTCTCTTTTAAATTCAGCATCTTTTTTAAATGATCCCAAGACTTCAAAAAATTCATTTCTATTTAATGATATTAAATAAGTATCCGTGTCAGCTATACAAGTAGCTGTTCTTTAAGCATCTTTATTATTTTCCATTAATGCTTTTTCTCCAAAATAATTTCCTGGATTTAAATCATTTATTAAATTTCCATAGATTTAGATGAAGTTCTATAAAATTTCAAACTATAATTCAGTGTTTTGTACTGTCTTTTACACTTTTAATAATTGTCTTTTTATTGAATTTTGTTATTTAAATATAAGCACCCTTCCTTCAATTATTAAGTACATTTTATCATTTGAAATTGCACCCTCTCTTAAAATTACCATTCCTTGCTTAAAAATTTCTAATTAAAGTTTTGTACACAACTAATTTAAATGTTTTAATTTACGTGATAAATTTACTCCATATCATTCTTCAATCTGTTTGAATTAAATATTTCTTAAAAAAAACTATACTTCTTTACTTAATAGTAAATTATCTAAACATAAAATTTTCTTTTAATACCATCCCATCAGATAATTTGCAATGTGGTTTAGATAGTAAACCTATTAATGGAATGGATTAATAAAGGTCTTCACATTTCAACAACATTGCGTTATCACATTAAAATTAGAGACGCTTGCAATATTAAATTTATATACTTCAGAATAAGGCTGTATCAATGAACGAGAGAACATAAAATTGCAATTAGAATGGGTTCTTAGTTTATATGAGCCTTCTCTTATTGGAGACGAAGCTTCACTCATATTATATTAATTTATTATATGTTTAAAAAAGTTGTAAATGATAAATTATTATTATAAAAATACTAAATCATATCATTTTACTACTTAAAAATTCATATTTATGTACAAAATTTTGATAGAGTTTCTTTTGCCATCAAGCCACAGCATATTTGATATTTTTTAAAGGCACAAAAATTTATAAGTATTTTTTTGATTAGATAATAAAAAATAATACTGAATTTCTCTTAGAATTGTAAATACATAAAGATCCTTTATACCTTCAATTAATCAAACCTTTTTACTTCATTTCTATTAATGACTTAAAAAATTATAAACTTTTCATTTATTTTAAAATACTATTTCATAATTAATTCTTTTATTTTTTTTTCTTTGATATTTCTGTTTAATCCTTATAAATTTTTACTTAACTTCAATATTTCTATTTAATTCTTTTAAATTAAAATCCATTATTTCTATAAATTATTAAAATGTTTGATGTTAGATTCGCAGTTATTTATTTCTGATCTTAAGCTCAAAATAATTTGATTTTTATATTAATTTTCATTCTAAAATCTTCATTTTTTAATCTTGAATTATCAAATACCCATTTCATATATTCTACTCTTATAAAATCTTGTTTTATTAATAAAATCAAATTAAAGATTTACTAAAGTCATTTTAGTCTTACATTTTCTTGTCTGTGTTTAATTCTTCATTTATATCATTTCTTAATTTTTAAAAATATAATTTTTTTTTAACTCACTTTCTTTCTCTTTTAGCCCTTAATTTAGTTTTTAAATCTGTAAATTATACTCTTTAAAAAATAATAAAGTCTTACAATTTCTTCCTTATTCATCTGAAGGCTTTGAAAAAAGGAATCAATCTTTTATTTTTACATTAGCTTAGATTTCTAACTTTCTGCGAATTATGAATTAACATTCTAACAATTATTTTCTTCAATATTATTTTTAAGTTTTTAATTATTCAATTATTTAATCTTATCAAATTGCATTCTTTTTTTAAGAGAATTAATAATCTATTTATTTTATCCTAAAATCTATTGTTTTATGATAGACTTTGATCAAGATTTTTTATTTGCACTAATCCAATTTTTTTGGCTAGTTTAAAAACTATTAATACTTTAATTAAATATTCAATTTTTAATTCTTCGAATTCTCATATTATTTGATAGTAGTTGAAGTATTTCTTTATAATTTGAAGTATCCTTTAATTTATCAATTTTTTTTGTAAATCAGAAACTCTACTATTTAATTCTTTTATATCTATAAATTCTATGCTACATTTTTTTTTAATATAGTTTTTTCTCTCTATTAATTTTATAAGAATTAATTATTTAGTTGTTAGACTTCAATTTTTTGAATGAATGTTAGAATAAAATAGAACTAATTTATTTCTTTTAGTATTTAGAATTATTTTAGTCTTCACTCAAAATTAGCTTGCTGAATTTCCAATTCTATTTTACAAGTGTTAGCATTGATATATTTACAGTTTCACGAATGAGCCAGTTTATAAATTCGTTAGCTTATCAAATAGCAATTAATAAAGTTAAAAAATTACGCTGAGATTGAAAAAAAGATAAAACACTTGTTTTAACTAATAGAGATAAAAAATACTTTAATTTTAAAAACTTAATTATTTAGTTAATATTGTTTGAACTTTTATTAGATCTTAAAATAATTTAGACCTTCAAAATTTTCAGGTAAAGCCTTCATTGTTAAATTTTATAATACTGATTCTTTACTCTATTTTCTAAACTGAATTAGTTATTATTTATTATATTTACTTCATTTTGAATCTACCATTTTAATTCTTTCTTAATTTTAAACATCTAATAATCATCCATTACTTACAATAATATTTTACTGATTAATGGTAGGAAATATGTAGTGATTAAAATAATTAATTTAATTATCTGAAATGTTCTTATTTCTTAATTAAGAATAAAAGTTATTAAATAAATTAAAGAAATTCTAAGAAATACTTTGTAATTTTTTCACCCTCTCTTAAGACTTCCTTATATAAAATATGAGATTATCATTCTTATAGTTTATTTNATCAAATTGCATTCTTTTTTTAAGAGAATTAATAATCTATTTATTTTATCCTAAAATCTATTGTTTTATGATAGACTTTGATCAAGATTTTTTATTTGCACTAATCCAATTTTTTTGGCTAGTTTAAAAACTATTAATACTTTAATTAAATATTCAATTTTTAATTCTTCGAATTCTCATATTATTTGATAGTAGTTGAAGTATTTCTTTATAATTTGAAGTATCCTTTAATTTATCAATTTTTTTTGTAAATCAGAAACTCTACTATTTAATTCTTTTATATCTATAAATTCTATGCTACATTTTTTTTTAATATAGTTTTTTCTCTCTATTAATTTTATAAGAATTAATTATTTAGTTGTTAGACTTCAATTTTTTGAATGAATGTTAGAATAAAATAGAACTAATTTATTTCTTTTAGTATTTAGAATTATTTTAGTCTTCACTCAAAATTAGCTTGCTGAATTTCCAATTCTATTTTACAAGTGTTAGCATTGATATATTTACAGTTTCACGAATGAGCCAGTTTATAAATTCGTTAGCTTATCAAATAGCAATTAATAAAGTTAAAAAATTACGCTGAGATTGAAAAAAAGATAAAACACTTGTTTTAACTAATAGAGATAAAAAATACTTTAATTTTAAAAACTTAATTATTTAGTTAATATTGTTTGAACTTTTATTAGATCTTAAAATAATTTAGACCTTCAAAATTTTCAGGTAAAGCCTTCATTGTTAAATTTTATAATACTGATTCTTTACTCTATTTTCTAAACTGAATTAGTTATTATTTATTATATTTACTTCATTTTGAATCTACCATTTTAATTCTTTCTTAATTTTAAACATCTAATAATCATCCATTACTTACAATAATATTTTACTGATTAATGGTAGGAAATATGTAGTGATTAAAATAATTAATTTAATTATCTGAAATGTTCTTATTTCTTAATTAAGAATAAAAGTTATTAAATAAATTAAAGAAATTCTAAGAAATACTTTGTAATTTTTTCACCCTCTCTTAAGACTTCCTTATATAAAATATGAGATTATCATTCTTATAGTTTATTTAAATTTACTGAATATCGACCTTATTGTTTTATAAATAATAATTTTATAAAAATGAATGAGATAACAGAATTCACGATTCTTTAATTGAAATGTTAATTAGAAAGTTCATTGGAAAATAATGGTTCTTAAAGTAAGGAAAGCCTAAAATTATTATTATAATATAGTAAAATGCTTAGTGATTATGCAGAATCATAACCAAATTAAAAAGCTATTGCTATTCTAAATTAAGGTAATATTGATAAGCAATTATTATTTTAGCTTATAAAATGTTATTACCAGAAAAACCACCAAAATTATTAAGAATTTAATTTTAATACTGGAGGTTATTGATAGTTACTGCAATAAAATTATGTAAAGCATTAGAGATTAAGGGATAGATACATCAAGGATTAAATGTATTAATATAAACTGAGAATATAACCAAATCATTTAATAAATCACTTGAATGGGCTTTAACAATAGAAATTCAATATCTTTATTATCATTTAGCTATTATTTGGAAAAAATTATAAAATTAAGAAAGAACTTTTTATGCTGCAAATGAATGCATTTTACTTATTAAGCATGATCTCAAAAATAAAGCAGAACTTAAATAAATATATATGCTAGCCGAGATGCTTTAGTTATAATCATCTACAAAAAAGTCAATCCATCAATAGTTATCATACTTTAATGAAATTCATTACTATTAAACTAAATATTTTGGAGAAAATCATAAAGAAACAATTAAAACTATAATGAAGATTAACTAACTAAAATCAGAGATATAATTTGAAAAAGAAATTGAAGAATTCAGCAAAGAAGATTTTTAAAAGAAATTGCCATTTTAAGAAGTGTCATAAGTTGATTTTTATGGTGAAGAAAAATCATTTAATATGGATTAATAATTAGAGTAAAAGCCTTAGTAAAAGTAACGATTCGATTCAAAAGAATATTTAAGATAGAGATTATTTAATTAATAGATGTAAGTGGTGAAAAATGTTAAGAATAATTCTTAATCGAAATCATCTCTTAAAATTAGTCATTAATCAAAAAAGAGTTTAGAAGATTTTAAAAAGTTTACTGATGGCAAAATAAATGTTAAAATTAATTCAAGAACTTCTAGTTCTGGAGAAAATAAATTTTATTATTTCTTGAACATCAATAATTTATAGTAACTTTTGTATATTAATTTTTAGAGGGAGAACAAAAACTGAAACAACTTAATATCGAACAATTTTGAGTAAAAATTAAGATAGACTAACACCATAAGGATATGTTAGTTAATAATTTCGATGTAAAACTAATAAATCAAATGTTTCACTTAATAATTCTTAAAATAAATAAGAATTAAATAGTGAAAAAACTTAGAAAGATGAATTATTTAAAGATTTAATGACTTAAAGACCTAAGAGTAGTGTAGCATAGTAGAGATTAATTAAATAATTATAAATGACTACTGTTAATTAAACAATGTAAAATAAAAAGTCATCCTAATAAACTTAATTAAGTAATTAAAAGCCAATTGAAAAAATATTAAAAAAACTAAATACAATAGAATTAAACGTAAAAAAAAAAGTTTTAAATCTTTAATAACCGATTTTGCAATCTGAAATAAGTACTAAAAAATCAAATTAAGCTTAAGAAATAGTATTCGGTTCTTAATCATAAAAGTCGATCAATTTGATAACATCTGGAGGTATTTTATTGATATTATAAATAAGATGATCATACTCATAAAAAAAGTGATCTAGATTAATTTGAATATAATTTAGAAAAAATAATTAAGATTTAAAGATATTTTAGATAAAAGTTATAATAATCTCGTGACTACAAATTGAAGCATGAGAAAATAAATTTAATTAAATTTAGTTCAGGTTAGATTTATGAAGAAGAAGATAAATTTCATGAGAAAACTCCTGCTATTCGTTGTAAATCAAAGGATTTAAAATTATATTAAAGAAGTAATACATCCTCAGTAGAATCAATAAAATTTACAACAAAAAAGGATAATTTTTTATAACCCTCAGTATTCTAAACTAAATAAAAAGAACACTCTTTTAATAGTTAAGCAAGTAGTAGATTAATAAATGTAAAATCAGGAAGCAATAGTTAGATAAAGTATAATTACTAAATAATAACATAGTGAACAATCTTCAGAATCTTTATTAGATTTTGAATAAATATTTTAAAATGTCGACAAAAAATGGTCTTATGAAGAGTACATTTAAGGGTAATGTTTCTTTTTTTGTGATGATTAAGCAGATTAAATTATGAAACTTTTGAGATTTAAAGCAAAATTTCATAATGAAAATGTTGATGAGAATATTGGTTTATTATGTGAAATAGAAATAGAGAAAGGATTCTAATCTCATGTTATAATCCTTCCAATAATGTTATCAATAAAGAATTGGAAAATATATTCGAAATAAAAAGGTTTATAATTTTTTTAAAATTTATTAAAAGAATTTGTTGAATGCAATTTTCCAATAATTCCTTCAACAACTAAAATTTTAATATTTAAGGGTTAATACTTTGATATTCATTTAGAATAAATAATACATTATATATCTGTGATAATGAAAAATATATGTAATGAAAGAAAACTTGTTGGAGTAAAATTATATTATTCAAAAAATGTATAAGCAAAATTAAATAGAAAAATGATTTAATAATATTATTAGAAATAGAGATAAGAGTAAAGATAATATTACTTTCATCCTTTGTATTTTTTTATGGATAAATATGATATTAAAATAAACAAAAGAACTAATTCAATAGACCTTAATCTTAAAGGTTTGATGGGAAATGAAACAGCCAAATAAAAGTTAAAAGCTGCTGAGAATGCTGTGTTATTTGCAATTAGGGCAAAGAGCACAATTTAAGTTTAACCTCCTAAACCACCTGCTATTCCTTTGTTATTATTTGAAGATGATGATGTATAATCACCTTAAATTATGGAAGTTTCAATGAGAGATCCTGATGTAAATAGGCTATAATTAAGGAATATTATTAATCCTTAATTAAGAAAGCAATCAATTTAAGAATAATAAGAAATGAATAGATTTAGTAATCTTTTTAATTAAAAAGTCCATCATTAAAGAAATCATTCAAATCTAACTCCAAAGAAAGCTTCTGACAGTTTATTTAAAAAAACTTTTACTATTGAAACAAATTTACTCTAATAAAAAATTTTGACAAGACCATAAACTATAATTTAATAAGTTGATTAATCTTTTTCAAGTTAATCATAAAAATCATAAGATTCTTCTTAAAATTAATCAAAAGATCATGATTTATAACCACCTTCAGTTTCTCATAGTGTATCGTTAAGTTTTTAACCTCCTTCTTCATTTTAGAAAAAAAATGCTCCTAATGTTTCTTAGTCTTAATAAGGTAATACAATTTATTCAGCATAAAACTTACTTGACACATAATAAAATTTAGTTGCAAATTAATTATTTGATACATAAGCTTTAGAAGGTTTAGAATTAATTCCAGAATAAGAAAATGATATAGAATAGAAAATTATTACAATCTTTTAAAAGGATGATCATTTTACAGTCTCACCATAATGGAAAATAAAAAGATAAGCCACTATTCATAATTTTGAAGTTGAATATTTTTGGAATCAACATAAAGTATAAAAAAAAGTATTTTAAAAAATATACAATAATCCATTTAATATAAAGGAAGTTTTAATGATCGGAACATTACAAATTGATAAATAATATTTTTTGGTAAGTGTAACATAAATTTTAAAAGATAAAATTGATATATTTAATCAATCTGTTTTGAATAAAAGAGATCTTGTCAAAATTTAAATAACATATCGTTTAGCATATCCATAAAATTATGTTTGGGAAGATAGTGTATTAATCAATTTTAAAGAGTTTATTAAATGGTTTGTTCCAGATTTTGAAATATCAACTTATATTTAATGTTTTGGATTGAATAAAAATCAAAAAATTTAAGCATTTTATTATTTAGGTCGTTATGCACACATAAAAGAATCTAAATTAAAATTAGAATATTATGAAGAAAAGAAAAATAAAATTAAAGTTAAATAACTATAAAGAAGGGATATTGAAATATAAAGAATGAAAAAAATAGAAACTATTTTAGTGAGAGATAAACTTGATTTAAATTACATTTCAATTCTAGGTTTGAATAATTTATATCAAGAATTATTGAAAGGAAGAAAAATATAGGAAGAGAAAATATAAAGAAAATAAGAAAGATTAAAACTTTTTCTTTAATTAACAGATCCTAATTATTCAGATCAAATAACTTAGGGGCCTAAATATATTGGAGAAGATTATGATGGAGAATCTGAAGAAAAAACTATTTAAGTTCCAAATAGTCTTTAAATGTAAGTTTTGAAATCTTACAATACTGTTGTATATTTGCAATCAAACAAATAAATTATTAAAATGTAATCAACTTATTTAATTTGGGAAGGTTAAAATCTCAAAATGTGGAGACCTTTCTAAAGGAAGATTTGGCAATAAGTTAAAATTTTAAATAAAGAAAAACTTATTAATGCAATTTAATGTAAATTAAGAGATTATATTCTTAAATAAATCATAGTAAAAACACTGAGTTTAAATGGAAAGAAATACACAATCAAATAATAAAAATAATTTGCAACAAATAACGCCACTTAAGAACTTCTTTACTAATATTTTTAATTAAAATGCTTTACAAATTAATAATTTTATAATTTTTTAAGTATTTTACGAACTTAATTACTTTAATTCGTAGATTGTTCGTAATTTTGGAATGCATATTTTAAATAATATAAATAATTATAGCATTGTAATGTTCCCTAAGTTGGAGATTGTTTATTAGAAATTCTTGTTTTTATTGATAACTTTGCATAAGTATTGAATTAAAATTTGAATAGATATGTTTTTATTAGAATTAATATATATGAAAAGTAGAATATGAAGACTAAAATGCACAAATTGGTTTTAACACTTGATGATTTATAAATAACATCTAAAAAACAATATGATTTAAATAATGAAAATATTACTCAACATATATTTGATGATGTTTAAAATTTGATGCATAAATATGTTGGATATGAAAACTATGGTTTTTCAAAACATCCTACATTAGTTATTAAGAATAATAAATCAAATAGGACTATCAGATTAGTTAATCAATTACCTTGGCTTCATAATTTTAATTATGATGAATTTGATGTAACACTTTACCCTTAAAAATTATAATTTTACCATCCTTAAGGTTAACATCCTAAAATAATTTGTAAGATTATTAAGTTTTTGTAATTTCCCTCAATATTTTCAAAGAAACATTATTCATTTTATGATAGTTATGAAAAATAACATAGTAAGTTATAAAAAGAAATCACTGTTAGAGTTCCATGTATTATTTCAGTAGAAAAATTTCAAGAAATTTAATGCTTTTATATTTATATTTATTTTCCTCAATTTTGTAAAAGATTTATTACAAAATTACATTTTGATGATATTATTCAAGATTCAAATTTAAGGTTAAATAATTAACTAAAAGAATAATTAAGAATTCATAGAAGTGAAAAATAATGGTAAAGCTTAATTGAATCATTTAAAATTGTTATTAATGATCAAAGGAAATTACTTTTATTAATTGAAAAATTTTAAATTTCTTGTGTACTATAGGAAGTAATCTATCAAAAAATTAGGTAAATTTAAAAGAGTTAAGAATCAATATTATTTATTGTAAACATTGAGAAAAAAATGGAATAAGATCCAAATTAGGTCTAGATTAATTATGCATTTGAAAAAATGAAATTGCAAGAATCAAAAAATTTTAATATGTTTCTAAAATTGCAATGGTTGAATCAACATGAAAATATTTAATCATATCGATTACCCTTATATGAATTAATGATTGGTTATTTTGAAAAAACAAAAAAAAGTTTTAATATGTTTGATTATAAATTTAAATTGGTAGACTTAATAAAAATGTGTTAAATTTCTGTTGAAAATATTATTATGAACTTTTCAATGAATAAAATGATTAATTACAATAATACATTAGATTAATTAATACCATAATAACTTACATATAACATACATTAAACTATTAAATTAAATATGAATCTAAAAACTATTTAGATTGATAAATCAGTTTTTAAATTATTATACAGAGGTGTTTTATTGAGAAAACCTTAAATTTTAGTAGGCATCTACCAGAAACATCATAAATAAAAGTTGTATTTTTATATTTAAAGAGCAACAGATTGTGAATCTTTTATTCATAAAATCAGATTTTAAGAGATAGAAAATATTTATCCAGGGTTTTAAAAAAATTTATAAATTAATCAAAGATCGATTGGTCCTAATATATTTAAAATTCTGAAAAATAGATTGATTGTATAAAGTTATTATTAATTAAATTGAAATAATAATTAATTTTTTGTTGCTGAAAAATATATATATTTATAAATATAATATAGCTAATGGACAATATAAAGATTCTAAATGAAATTTAAGGAAAAATAGCATACAAGAATTAGTATGAATAGATCATTTATTTAATTAAAAGTGGACTTTTTTTCTTGATTCTGCATCACCTTAAGTTTGCATTTTTCGAAATTAACTATATTTTAATTCTTATTTCATTATGCTTTTGATGGATTTATTATCTGCACTATTGCTTCTTTGACTCTCATTCTCACTCTTTTCTTCAAATTTAACTCTATGCTCTGATAATGATTTTAATTTAGTCAATTTCTTTGAATCGAAAGATTTCAAAGAATTCTTAGGTTAAAAATCACAAAGAGGAGAATCATTTTTTTTTTTTTTTTTTAAAGAACGTTAAGATGTAATTGGACTTTGTTAAACATCTTCAATCTTTCTTGGAATGTCTTCTAGATTCATAACAATTTCTGCAACAAGTTAAATGTCTTTATAGGATTATTCAGAATGTTTGCTTCCAAAAGAATTTAAATCACCAAACCCAGGAGTTGCAGGATCTTCACATATATTTTGGTGACCTATCAGTTTGTCCTTTTGTGAAGGAATCCTTAAATTGCAGCAAACATTACTCATGTTAGTTTTTTGGAGATTTCTTTGAAGACTTAAGGGACGACTTCTCAGTGTCTTCAAACTTAAGAACAATTTCTGATTTATCATCTGTTTAGAGTGAACAACAATGTGAGCTTCCCATTAATTTATGTAATAAAATAATTCTCATTAAAATTCTTAATGGGAATGAAATATCAATGAAAAGTAATGAAATAAAATGAAAAGTAATTCTTAGAGGATAATTAATCGCTATATTATAGAAATAAAATTTAAATATAGAGTGATTTTAAACACAAGTAAAAATAAGTTTTAATACTATTTAGTAAAATATTTTGAAAATATATAAGAACATAAATTTTATTAGTTTAATTAAAAAATAATTTGTTTGACAAAATAGCAGATGCTTATTTGATAAATAAGGTAACTAGGAAAAAGTAAATAATTTTAATTAAGATTTAGGTTTGTAATAAAAATACTAATAATTAAAATCTAGTTTAGAATTGAAATATGAAGAAAATGTATATAAAATAAATGCTGAAATAATTATATTAGCAATAAAAGATATTAATTTTGATTATTTAACTGATATTTTTTATTTATCTGTTAGAATTATTAACATATTTATTTATCTGTCTTAATGGGTGCAGAATAATCTGTGGCACAAGGGATTGTTTAATCAAAGAACTATACAATATTGGGTTATAAGGAAAATGAAATATATGGATCATTCAAATTAATTGAATACCAAACAAAATAATATGCAATGGTTTCTAAGACTTGTTAGAGTCATGAGGAGTATACAAATTTATGTAAAATACTCAACTAAACTAAATCACTGAATGAAATTGAAAATTTAGTAAAGTTAGTAGAAGTTGATACTTAAGAAGAAACGAATTTATGTAGTACATTTTATAAAGTCACTGCATTATATGAATATTATGATATTAGTCTTCGATAGATCAGTAAATAAGCATCAATAAATTGTTTATTTGTATTAAAGAGTTTGGCAGAAATACTGAGATAATTATATGGACACAACATAATTCATGGAAATTTAACTCCAGATTATGTTTTGATTGAAAAGATAAAAGGAGAGGTAAAATTGAATAATTGTACATAATTAACAGGATACAATCATTATAAAAGAATTTTATCAGGTGATAGTTTATGGTATTTATCTCCAGAATTACTTGGTGCATTAGGTAAGAAGGATCTACGACCAGAATTTAATAATGAAAAGAGTGAGGTTTATTAATTAGGATTAATGGCTTTAGAATTCTGGGGAAGTTGTAATATTTAAGAGATATATGATAAATAGAATTATACAATAAATGAAAGTAAAGAATTAAATATATAATAGATGTAATATAATAATCAGTAGATGAATTTGGAGTGAGAAATGGATATGTATTGAAGAATGTTATTAAATAAATGTTATAAGTAGATCCAAATTAAAGACCAACTATGAGTGAATTAAGTTAATCATTTACTTAATTATTTCAGATTTAATAATAAGTAGAAGAACCTAAAGTTGAATAATATGAAGAGTAGGTAAATTAATATGAATAAACAACGAATTTAAAAGAAGTTAATAGAAATTTTGAAGTTCATGATGAAGTTTTATAAGTTTATAAGGAATCATTTTAATATTAAGAAAGTGATAAAAATTAAGTTGATAATTCACCATAGAAATAATTTGAAGAATCTCCTAAGAAAATAGAAAAACAGTATGTTGATGTGAATTCTCAATCTGTAAAATAATCAGTAAATTAATCAATCAAAGAATATTATGTATAAGGATCAATTGCTGCTTAATTTGGACAATTGAATTTACTTGAAAGTAATGAAAATGGAGACGTATTATAAGAAAAATCATAAAATCAACCTACTTCTCCTAAAGGATAGGATTCAACTAAACCTAAGAAAAGTGTAAAGGTGAATACAGTATCAGCTAATAAGAAAGGAATTTCAATAAAGAGACCTAAACATGAAATAATGGATACAAGGTTACCAAAATAAGCTGTGGTTGTTAGTAAAAAAAGATGAAATATAAATTTTATTACTATAAATATTTATTAAGTTTTATTTAAAATTCTTATTAAATTCTTATGTAAGGAACTCCAGATTTAGATGAACCAGTAATAGTTAATGATAAATAATCATGGGGAAAATTGATATCAATGAATGGAAGTAAAGTAAATTCTTAAGAATTATTTGATGAAGAAGTAATAAAAAAATATTTATTAATAGATTACTATAGGAAGACTAGATACAAATAAAATTATAATTTCTGAAAGTAGATTATCTGGACTTCATTGTAAAATAAAATGGGATTCTACAAATAATATAGCATAATTATTGGATTTATCAACTAATGGAACATTTATTGGTGATTAAAAAATAGGAAAAAACAATGAAATTATATTAAAGAATGGTGATGAGATCTTTTTATTACATAAAAGCAAAGTTCCTATAACAGATATTATTGGATTTACATTGGTAATTCAATAACAGAAATAAATTAAAATGGAGCCATAATTAGATGAATAACAACAGAAAAAAATTTAAATGATTGAAGATTTTCAATATGATATTCATTGTCCTATATGCGATGATTTAATATATTAATGTGTATCATTGATGCCATGTCTTCATAATTTTTGTGGAGCATGTTTCTCTGATTGGATGGCAAAATAGAAAACTTGTCCTTCATGTAGAAATGATGTTTAATCTGTTAATAAAAATCCAATGGTCAATAATGTTGTTGAAAAATATCTTTAGATGCATCCTGAGAAAAAAAGACCACCAGAAGAATATAAAGAAATGGATCAAAAAAATAAAATTAAAGGGGATGCACTAACTTTTAATTCAACTGATTAAATCTCTACTGTTACTATTCCATCTATTACAAATGATGCTCCAAATAGAGGTAGAGGTAGACCAACTAATACTATAACATAATAGGTCTCTATTATCTAATAATTAAATTAAAAGGAAATAAATAAATAGTCTAATATAAGTGATTATTCAGCAGAAGAAGATGATGGTCCTGTTACTAAAGATTGTGTTACATGCATTAGACCTATTAATGGATATTAATGTTAAAGAAGAAGTGTTCCACATTTAAATTGTAATAATTGTTCATCTAAAATGCCAAAATTTGGTAATTATTATAATTTTATTAAATTAGATTTAAATGAAAAAAGATTAGTTTTCAGATGTGATTTATGTGAAAACTTTTTCTGTTCTCTCTATAATAAAAATTGTTTATAACTTAGTAAGAAAAACCCTAATGTTAGACTAGAAAGACATTAAGTACCTAAAAATGTAGATGTTCAAATTTTTAGATAAAATCAATTTGAATTCTAAGCCTTTCTAGATTTCATGAAACTTAAAAATTTGACTACATAAGATATCTTTTAATATATGTTAGATAATCATATTAGTAAGGGGGGATTCAAATATCTTGAAAGTAAACGTACTCATAATGATCCAAAAAGAACCATTGATATGATCATTCTTAAAGATACTGTATTTATTTCATATTAATCTTTTTTAGCCTATTTGCTAACAATGTTTTACTTTAATTTGGCAATAGATTGTATTTAGATATCGTATATCAATCAGAGATTAAATGATTGATAAAATTAAAAATAGAGGTTAATGTTGGTTTGGCATTAATTGTAAAACAATGGTTCATAATCCAGGACATGCTGAGAAATTAGATCATATTTGCGAATAGACTAAATTTTGAATCGGTTTTTATCTAATTATATTCATTATTATTATGGGAAATAACAATATCACATCAACTTGTAATTAAAATATTTCATAATCCTGCCAATAAAACTCTGGTCTTACATAATAAGAATTTGAAGGTATTAAAAATGTTTTTAATTCCCTTCTCCCTAAAGTTAGTTCTTTAATTTATTCATATAGGATGGAGTTATTAACACTGAAAAATTAAGAAAATTATATAGAGACTCCTTTGATGCTCCTAAATTAAATAATGAAATTGGAGACAGAGAAACCCTAACTTTTGAAGAGTTTTATGAATTAATGCGTATCAATATGTTGGAAAAAAAGAAAAAATTTCCGAATGTTGAATTCAATGATGAAGATGGTAATGTTTAATGCTTTTTCTGTTAACCATGATCCTGAAAATTCATTTTATATGAAATATCATTAAAATATTTTTGCAAATTCTGTCTTGAACTCTTCTGAACCTTCTTTTGTAGTGAACATTATTTTTAAGGTATCAACAGATATGGATTTGTTCTCATCATTTTCTTCTGATTTACTATCTGATTTTTCTTTTCTACTCATAGCCTTAATAATTAAATTTTCTGCTTTTTATCCTAAAGGTTTTATTGATGAAAATCCTTTGACAAATTACCCTGTGTATAATGATTATTATATTGCATTTCTACATATTAAATTAATAATATACCTATATACAATATAATAAGAATCTCCTGTTTTAGTTTTTTCAATTGCAACAGATCCTTTCTCTAAAATATCATTAGTATTTTTTCTAAACTTTTCAACATTAACCTTTAATTAAAAAACACTAATATACCTTTATCAATTATTCTGTGTTCGAAGTATAGTCATATTTCATTACTATTTATTTAGGTTCATCATCCTCTGGTTTTTATTCTTCTTATCCTATTAAATTATAATAAGAAATACCATCACCATCACCTTCTTCACTTTCATCAGATTTTTAAGCCTTATAACTAATACCAAATAATGATGGTCCTGGTTTTGTAAGATCTACATTAACATTGCTTAAAATAGATGGACCTGAACTAAATAGTCCAGTTGTTGGTTATGATTATCCAAATAATCCTCCTTAAAAAATTGAAGTTGTTGAATTGTTATTGAATAGATTCTATCCATTTACCATTGATCCAAATAAACTTGTAGTTTTGTTTTCTGTCTTCTATGCTTCATTTTGCCCTTCATTCTATTGATTTACTTCTTAAGGTTTATCTTTTTCTTCATCTTAACCTTTATGAGATTCATCCACTTTTTTTGCTAATTCGGCGGATTATTAGGCCATGAATAATTAAATTATTTAAATTTGTTTATATATTTTATTAAGGTATATAAATATCAATCATAATTAGAATAATCAAAGCATTAATTTATTTGATTTTCTTCATAATACTCATAACCTTCATCATCTAAATTTTAATAATTGTCTTCCTCATACTAAGCATTTTAAACTTATTCATAATTATAATTATCAAATAGAGTTCGTATATTTTTTATTAATTTTATTACTCTATCTTAATAATAAAATATCCTTTTTTTATAAATATCCAAAATCTCATTTGATTTAAGTTAATGAAGTCCAATATAATTAAGTTAGTGGTCAATATGATCTTTTATTATTTGAATTAAAAGATTTTTAAATATTACTTTAATATCTAATAAATTTTAAGTATTTAAAAATTCCTATATTAATTGAGCTACTATAAAATTTATATCGTCATTTTTTTCTAATAAAAATAATATAGATATCAATTCTTCGTAGAAATTTACATCAAAAATAAAATAAATATCTTTTAAAATCTGAACCCATTTTTCATTTTTTAAGATCGAGTTTAAGTTTGTTGAATATTTGAGATTGAAAACTCTATTGTTTCTAAAAAAAAAAACTACAATTCTTTCTTTATTCTTGGTTCTTTTAGGAAGTCCTAAAAATTCTACTGAAAATTATTCCATAAAGTCAAATAGAGGTTACTTTTTTTTTATTTCAATTTGTTTTTATTCCATTTCTTTTTTTTTTAATTTATTTTATTTAGTTTCTAAACTTCTTTTGGTTCCAGCTAAATGAAGTAAGAAATGTCTTCCTTCATCAATGAAAAATTTTAAAATATCTACTAAATTTTTACTACAACTCCAGATTTCTGGTAAGTCAAGTTAGATTAAGCCTAAATCACGTGGTTTTCCAATCTCGGATTTTTTTATTTTGATCTTACATTTTCCGATTTTATTACATTAAATTTTTGAATCGTCATTAACTTCAATTGTTTATTAGGATTTGTTGTTTTTTCTTGATCTTCCCATAAAATATTTATAATGACCTAATTCTATTAAGATAAAAAATGAATATATAATACAAAAAATAGAAAAAATTCAATAAGAATAATTTTTTGTGTTTTAGTTATTAAAAGTAAATTTTAAAAATATTTTATTTAAATTTAAAGCTCAAAATTAAAGAATAATAAGATTAATAAATTAAAATAATAAAATACTAAAATAATAAAATAATATTAAAATAATTAAGAGAGAACTTAAGAAGGGATTTAAATTTAATGAAAATAATTACATAAAATTATGTTCTAAGTGAAAATAATAGATAAAATTCATTATTAATCAATATTTTTTAGTTCCTAGTATAATAAATTATTTAATTTTCTTCTAAAAAAAATATAAATAATTTTATACCTTTTCGAGATACCAAACCCTATCTTGTCAAATCTAAAAATGTTTTCACAAATTTTAATTTCCATTTTGTCCTCTATTTATAATGGTTAACTTGATTAAACTATAGGATTTAAAGAGCTTTGACATTCTTATAGTGACTACCAAGTACCATTGGCAGATTGTTTTACTCCTTCTCCATCAGATATTTCCCATTTATTTTTGTTGAACTTAATTTATGTTTGTTTTCTAGAAATAGTATTCATGTTAATAATTATGTCACAATCTTAACATCTTCCAATTTTAAAAATTTATTATTCTCCTTGATTTGCAATAAATACAGCCATTTATTTAATTACAGGTGTATCAAATTGAATCTTAAGAAATGGTCTATTACAATTTAATAGACTGTATTGTTTTCTCCCTTTCTTTTTCATTTATGTATAATTTTATAAATACTCTAGAATGTTATGTCAAATGTCTATACATTAAAAAATAGCTTATTCCTATTTAGTTAATCCATGTATTCTGGTTCTATCTCTTACATGTTCTCTAACTAAAGTTTAGAAAAAGTAATCAATATCCGTTTCTTCTTTTTTTTTATCATTTAATTTTGGATTTGTGCTTAACTAAACAACATGAAAGTAGAAATCATTTCCAATCAGGTATTTATTATTTAAATTCATTATTTTTGGATTATCCTTTTGAATTCTAACTAAGGTTTTTAGTTATGTTCCACAATCTTGAACATAGAATTTCGGTTCTTCTCTAAAAAAATTGAAAAAAAAACTTTACTTAATAAATTAATGAATGAGTTTGAAGACATTTGTAGGCATAATAGCAAACTTATTATTGAAATATTTCAATGAAAGTAATATTAGAATCTGAGGAGTGATCCTACTAGAATAACGAAATCCATATTATGTGGAAATTTTGCAAGGGATTTACTCAATATTTATTTCTTAAGAAGATAGACCTTAAAAATAACGTTTATTCATACCAAAATCCATATTGTTATCACTAACACGTAATGCCTTCTTTCTTCTAATTATCTAAATTTCATTGTTTTAAACTTAATTTCCACCTATGATTCTAATAATAAATGAAAGAAATTACTTGTCATCTTAAAGAATATAAATTTTTTAATTAGCCAGTTGGTGTTGTCTATATACGCTAATCTTTATATAAGGAGATTCTCTATTAAATTCTTATTTTAAAGTCTATATTGTTGAAATGGATGAATCCTCTTCCTTTCTAAGAATACCTTCTATATTTGAGGAGTTATTTGATGACTAAGAATTATAAAAATATTTACAAATTTTTCAATATTCATTTCATTTTCATTTTAAATTGTCATTGCTTGATTAATTTCTCTAAAAGTAGAACTTTATTGTTATAGATTGCAATAAGGTTAAGTGAAATTTTGAGAATTTGTAAAATCTAATTATCTTAAATATTCTTACTATTTATGTGACTATTAAGAGTTGCACTATAGTTGAGAGAATTGGACATTGAATGCGTGGTTTGATTTTATGGGAAATATTATTTAAAATTAATATTAATGCCAAAAATATTTGCATTACAAAATTTCAATCTCAGGATTTATTAATACTTATTAGTTTAAAACTTTCTTCTGACAATCAATAGGTGCTAAAATTGTTAAATTGCATCGAGACAAAATGGTTCTAAATTTTTTATTTTATACAACGATTTCACATTTTTGAGCGTTTTATGTACTATAAATTATATTTATGCACCCTAATATATTACTATCATTATATTAAATTATTGAAAATTAATCATTTTTATACGCAATATTTAATTATACTTATATTCCTCCATAATTCTAGCTTTAGATTGTGAATTACTACCATATATCAACCTCTTTAAGCTTTTTTTTTCAGCTTATCAGACTTTTTCTTTAAATCATCTATTAATCATCCAATTCTGATTTAAATATAATTAAGTCTACAAGAATCTTTATCCTTAACATTTCTGTCTTATACTCTTTTTGATTCTTTTTTATTCAATGCAAACTACAAAATAGATATCAAATATATGAGATTACTTCAATATTAATTTTAAACAAAATAAAAACTAAAATTTGTGAACATTAATCTTTACAAACTCTTTATACTATAGAAGCAAATCCAAAATTACATTCTAATTGGAATTAACAGCTATAAAGTTTATGGCTTTTTAAATTATAAGTCTCATAAATTTATTAAATGATAATTTGTTTCAATATTTTTACATAAATTAAGATTTATTAGCTTATTAAGATTAAATCTAGCTCATGAAAAATATTTGAGAATTGATTTAGAATTAAATTTTCTGATATTTAAAATTTTACATAATTTTTAATTATATAAAATTTTTATGAGATGAATAAGTAAAATTTTAGTTATTAGGTAATAAGTTTTATAAGTATATAATATTGATTGAGTATCTTTAAATTTAAGGATTTTTATAATAATATTAAGTTATTATTTTTGATAAATTTGTATCTTTAAATTGTGAAATAGTTAATAAGAGAGATTTATATGATGTAAATAAATTTTTTATTTTGTATTTTTTTAATCATAGATATTTAATATATATAAATATATTATATGATTAAACGATTAAAATTTAATACAGAGTAGATTAGAAGAGCATCTAGTTTATTACAGAAAATCGACCTGAGGATGAGTTAAAGGGATTTTTCTAAGTATGTAATCATGAGAGTACAGTTATCAAGACATCATAGATATAATGATTTTTATACTTCTGAAACCATGTGAGCTAAGATCATAAACAGATGTTGAATTGTTAAAATATGCTACAAGATCGCTTGATTTTTTTGCAAATTTGGGTTCTGATCTTTTACATGAATAATGTTGTAGGAATTTGAAACATAAATATGTTCCAATTGGTTATTTTATATTTAAAGAAGGTGAATAAGGAGACAATTTTTATTTTATTATAAGTGGACGAGTACAAGTATTAAAAGATTTCAATCCATAAGATTTATAAGCATCAATTTTTGATAATGAAATAAAATAATTGTCAAATTTTGAGACTTTTGGGGAGAGAGCTATGGATTCTGATGCACTTAGAACTGCTTCAGTTAGAGCTATTGAAAATACTCATTTAGCATATTTAAATAAGGATAGTTATTAAATAATAGCTAAAAGTGTTAAAAATCATTTAAAGAAAGCATATTTTGAAGAATTTGCAAATTTAGACTTTTTTCTTAATTGGAGATTTTAAGACATAAAGGTGTTTTATGATAGGACATATGTAAAAAGATGTTCAATGAATGCTACTGTATATAAAGAAGGGGATCCATTAGATTATGTATACATAATTAAAAAAGGAGAGTTTAAGATAGTCAAAATAATAAAGACATCAACAATAGATTTAAATGAAATGTTTAAAGGTGATTTTGAAAAGATTTTATGTGGTATGAGTACTTCTAAGACTTATACTATCTCTGAAAGATTAGAAGCTAGATTTTAAAGTAAAAAATATGGAAATATATATTATTTAGAAAAGAAAAAACCTGTTACTATCAAATATATAACGGCAGGATAAATGTTTGGCGAAATGGAATTTTTAATGCAAGTAAACTTTAAGTATAACTAAATCAAAGAATAATAATACCAGAATCCACTCTGTTTATTCTGTTACTGATTAATCAGAACTTTATATGGTCAAAAAAGAATATTTTGAAATTATTTTAGATAAGGCTCCATCTATTAAAAATGCATTGATCTAATATCATAATAGAAAAATCATAATTTTATGAGACAACTTTTACAATATGAAAGACATTTTAATGATTTAACTGAAGTCAAAAAAGATTTAGAAAGAAATATTAATTTAGATTTTTTATAATTAGGAAGCATTGAAAAAAGATGACCACCTCCAGTATTGTAATAAATTAGATAAACTCAACCTGTTGTTAAAAAAGTATTGAAAATTCCCAAAATTGAAAGAGAAGTCTAAAGAATAGAAACAAAAAAAAAATTCTTAATGAGAAGAAGAAAAACAAGTGGTTTTAAGATATCAATGTTTGGATTTTGTTTAGCAGAGTGGGTTGAATTTAATTTTGTAGCTTTCGGTAGATATCGAATAATACTACAATGAATANTTATTTTATATTTAAAGAAGGTGAATAAGGAGACAATTTTTATTTTATTATAAGTGGACGAGTACAAGTATTAAAAGATTTCAATCCATAAGATTTATAAGCATCAATTTTTGATAATGAAATAAAATAATTGTCAAATTTTGAGACTTTTGGGGAGAGAGCTATGGATTCTGATGCACTTAGAACTGCTTCAGTTAGAGCTATTGAAAATACTCATTTAGCATATTTAAATAAGGATAGTTATTAAATAATAGCTAAAAGTGTTAAAAATCATTTAAAGAAAGCATATTTTGAAGAATTTGCAAATTTAGACTTTTTTCTTAATTGGAGATTTTAAGACATAAAGGTGTTTTATGATAGGACATATGTAAAAAGATGTTCAATGAATGCTACTGTATATAAAGAAGGGGATCCATTAGATTATGTATACATAATTAAAAAAGGAGAGTTTAAGATAGTCAAAATAATAAAGACATCAACAATAGATTTAAATGAAATGTTTAAAGGTGATTTTGAAAAGATTTTATGTGGTATGAGTACTTCTAAGACTTATACTATCTCTGAAAGATTAGAAGCTAGATTTTAAAGTAAAAAATATGGAAATATATATTATTTAGAAAAGAAAAAACCTGTTACTATCAAATATATAACGGCAGGATAAATGTTTGGCGAAATGGAATTTTTAATGCAAGTAAACTTTAAGTATAACTAAATCAAAGAATAATAATACCAGAATCCACTCTGTTTATTCTGTTACTGATTAATCAGAACTTTATATGGTCAAAAAAGAATATTTTGAAATTATTTTAGATAAGGCTCCATCTATTAAAAATGCATTGATCTAATATCATAATAGAAAAATCATAATTTTATGAGACAACTTTTACAATATGAAAGACATTTTAATGATTTAACTGAAGTCAAAAAAGATTTAGAAAGAAATATTAATTTAGATTTTTTATAATTAGGAAGCATTGAAAAAAGATGACCACCTCCAGTATTGTAATAAATTAGATAAACTCAACCTGTTGTTAAAAAAGTATTGAAAATTCCCAAAATTGAAAGAGAAGTCTAAAGAATAGAAACAAAAAAAAAATTCTTAATGAGAAGAAGAAAAACAAGTGGTTTTAAGATATCAATGTTTGGATTTTGTTTAGCAGAGTGGGTTGAATTTAATTTTGTAGCTTTCGGTAGATATCGAATAATACTACAATGAATAAAAAAGAAATAAGAAATCTTTGTTAATTATGTTATCAGCTGATTAAGAGAATTCAAGGCTAGCAACTCAATATAATCATATAAATATTTGTTCATATTTATAATTCTTTGCTTTCATAAATCTTCTCTTTAAAACAATCCTCCATTCATTTGAAATAAAAAATAGCAACAATAGTCATGAAAACTTGTTTAGTACCTAAAGATGCGAGTTATATAAAGATATATCTTTTTTGTCTTTTGGCTTATTTTTGCTTTACAATTGCAAAGATGAATTTATATAAAGTGAATTTTGAGATAAAATAAATGATGCTTATTTAATAAAATATCTAGTTTAATTGATGTTGTCTTAATGAATTGTAGCATAATTTTGAACAAATAATTATCTATCATTTGCCTTTAATTTAACCTTAATTCATGAATAAGCTATCATTACCTGTCAATATCTAGTTCTTAAGAGCCATTAATATTATTCTGTTTCAAACTATTTTTTTAGCAGCCATTATTCATGGTTAGATTAGCATTTATTTTTTATCTGAAATAAGGAATAAATTTTTTAATGATCAAAAAATTTTCGGTGAAAAATCAAATTTACAAAAGCGAAGATTTTTGTTGTTTTTAATTTTTTTTTATTATTAGCGCTTATTAATATTGATTTATTAGCTGTTCAAATTTTATATTTTTCTAAAATTCTTTCTTTTATAAAATTTTCATGAAATGTAAATTTTATAACAGTAATAAAATTTAAATTCTGGAAAATTCTTCAGTTTGGTTTCCGTTACAATTTTTTTTTAATGAATTGCTTAAAAATCATATTATAATAAAAAATTACTGAAATGATTAGTACTTAATGTAGTAGCATAGTTAAAAGGAAATAAAATATGAATTAAATGAAAAGATTTCACTTTAAGTTTTACTCTACTAAAGATAGATAAAATATTTCCCTTGAAGATAGATTGAACAAAAATATATTTCCTTTATTACCTTATTATTTATCATTAAAAATAATAATTTAATGAAAAATATTTATTAAATTAAAAGTAAATTCAATGATTTTAGAAGAATAAATAATAAACTTATTTCTTAATATTCTCAAAAACTTATCAAATAAAATATATTTATATTTGAATATAAAATTCATTTTTTTTTTTTTATCTATAATTTATGAACTAATTAAATACTTATAGTGAAAATTATAAAGTAGAAACACTTTTTAATTTAACATAAAATATTTTATTTTTATATAAAACAATACGTGATAGCAAATCAGAAATTGATGGGAGCTAATATAACTTTATTAGTTCGATAAAATGAATAATTAATTTATTGTATATGAAATCATAATATGATTACTCTAAAATTTAATATGAATGTATCGTAGTTC